TAGTCCATGTGGTATATGACTGCGGCCCCAGGCGGTGGGAAGGCTCGTCGTGGGCCCGTAGGCGCGAGCAGAACTGACGCTGGCTGACGACGACTCCGGCCGGGGAGAGATTAAAAGTGCAGCGCGGCAGGCGCTGGATGCGTACGTGAAGCACTTCACGTCCCTCCTGGAGCTCGAATCTGGCGTGCTTTCCGCAGCCGTGGCCGCCGCTCCAAAAGTGGGGCCCGTGGACCTGCCCTTTGTCGGAGCTGGCCATGTTGCCTTCCAGGGTCCAGGTCGATCCGCTCGATCCGATTCGACGATGATTCTGACGGGTCCGATCCGACTCGGTGACGATATTCCGGCGATCCGATTCGGGCCGATTGCTTGCATGGCGCTCTTGTGCATCCTGGCGCGGCCGGTCCGATTCGATCTCGATCCCATGCCGACGCGGCCCGATCCGACGCAACGTCGGATCCGATCCGACTTCCCCACTCGATTCTGAACGATCCTGCCTTTCCCTAAAAGTCCTGTCCCCAATGCTTTCACGCGGGCCCCAGTCCTCTCAGCTCCATCCCCAGGACACGCTATTCGTCGCGGATTTGTCGCGAGCCCTCTGTTCACGGTGACGGTGCCCGTTGTTTGATTTCTCGCGGCGCCCGAACGCTTAAAAGCCTCGATCGTCCATCCATGTCCTCCTCCTTTTCGATATCCGTTGTATTTTTTCGAGGCGCCCGAGCATGCAGAAGCCCGAATTCTCGATCCTCGTGCTTTCCCTCCCTCCTCTCAGGGCAAAAGCAGGGGGCTCCCAACGTCCTCGAGGAACACCGATCACCACGCCAGGATCCCCCACTCCTCCTTGGCCCGTCTACGGCCACCAACTTCGGCTCGGCGCGTCGCTCCGCCGGCACTGGCCCACCACAGTCGGGCGCGGCACGCTGTCCATGCCCCCAGAGGTCTGGGCCCGCAGAGGTCTGGACCCATTCCCCAGGGACGTTTTGCCATCGCACCGCATCGCCATCGCCAAGGAAGCTGCCTGAAACATGACCGGGTGCTTTCACACTTCGTGGCAGGCATCTGGACGCCTGCTGCTGAAAGCTGTGGCGGAACACATTGGTTTCATCATGGTTAGATCCATGAGTTGACGCTCTGGCCAAGGGGCTCTGCAGCAGCACTCAGGACGCCGTGTGGCCGGCGCCCGTGTTTCATCCCGAGTTGTTCCTTGACGGCCCCGAGACCAGGGCACCCTCCGTCGTGTTCCTCTCCTGGCGTGAGGGGCTCTGGGCACAGAGCTGCCGAGCCCCCCCCCCTCCCCTGCCGGGGGGCCACCGCCGTCCGGGGCCCCCGCTGGCCGTTTCGCACCGCGGCGCTCCTCGTGGAGCTGCCTTGGAGCTGGCCGCGCGGCGGGGCGGCTGCCGGGGGGCCCGGAGGCAGCCAAAGAGGGGGTCCCCAGGAGGCGGTCCGGGCACTTTCCCCACCGATGGGAGGGGCGCTTCGCCGTGTGCGAACGCACCAGCGATGAGGAGGAAGCGGGCGAGGAGGAGGAGGAGGAGGACGATGAGTACTCTACTGGGCCTACTGGCTAGCACTGGAAGGGCGGACCTGTATCTCAGGCCCAGGCCCTGCCAGTCTGCAGAACACTGCCCGAGGAGCAGGACTAAGTCTGTCCGCAGTTCGGTTTCTTCGGCTGCGTCGCAATCAGTTGCGTTCGGTCAGTTCGGTTCAGTGGGTTTTTGTGTCATTGCTGCGTCGCTGCGCCTTTCTAGGCTGTCTGTCAGTTTCGGCTAGCTTCGGCTCCACTGTTGGTGCTTCCGGTTTTCGTTTGTGCTGTCGCCGTGGACGGTTTGTAAGACAGGCGCCCCCTACGTGACCAGAGCCCTACACCCTAACTTTCGAGGCCCGAACCCAGAGCGAACAAAATATGCGCCGCCCAGACTCCAAGGCCCACCGACCAAGAGGACCCCCCCCCAGTCGGGCGGGGGGCCCAGCGGATACGCGGCGGAGCGCGAGGCCGTCACCGAGCGCGTGAGGACCTCGGCGGGGGGCGGCCCGGTGCCCCGCTGGCCCTGAGGGCGGTGCCTGCCCGGATAGCGGGCGGGCGGGCCGCCGCCACGGCCGAGGGCCGCCGAGGCCCACCGAAGGCCACCGAGGGCCGCCGAGGGCGGCTGGGGGCCGCCGAGGCCGCTGTCCGCCGCCGTCCGCCGCCGTCTGCCGTCGAAGGCACAGCCCAGGCCGGCTTCTTTGCAGTCTTCGCGCCGCGGGGGCCATCGGGCTCATGCGGCAAGGCGACCTCGCTGCGCAGAGGCCGGGAACGGGGGGCAGGGTCGAGAGCCTTCAGAGGCCCCTGGACGTCATGAGGGGGCACGGCGTCTCAGGTCGGGGGGGGGGCTCAAGCCAGGTCCACGAAGGAGAATTTGCAGGTGCTCTTTCTTGAGCAGGAGGAGCAGGAAGGAGGAGGAGGAGGAGGAGGAGGAGGAGGAGGAGGAGGAGGAGGAGGAGGAGGAGGAGGAGGAGGAGCAGAAGTGGTGGGTGGGATGCAGGAGACAGAGGAGTAAGGATGGTAATTCATGAGGTGAGGAAGGAGGAGGCGAAGGCGGAGGAGGAGTGGAGGGAGGAGGGAGGTGAGCGATGGACGTGCACTTAGTCGTCCGTGCTCGTGTGACACATGCTCGCGAGTGCTGGTGCTTTTTGCGCCCGCGGGTCCCTGCCACTGAATCAAGGCTCTCTGGGTGCGCGCCCGTCGCGTTCTGAGGCTTGGGGAGGGGCGTCCATGCCTGGCCGCAACCGAACAGCTCGATCGCAATATTTCATGGCCTTCAGCCCATCCCGCCACCGTGCCTGTCTTGTGGGTATGGAGCCCATTTGATGTTTGTCGGGATCTCACGGGAGGCCTCTTGAGGGCTTTTTGAAGGCAATTTTGATACCGCTCGGGCTCCGTTTTGGGGGCCCCGGAGCCTCTTGGGGGCCTTCGCGGGCCTCTTGGGGAGCAGGCCGGGTTCCCGGTTCCGGGTTCCCGGGTTCCCGGTTATTGGTTCCGGGCCGATTTCTGTGGGTTTTGGGTTCCCGCGCTCCCGGGTTCCCGGTCGATCCCCTCAGCGAAAATCATCCATTGATTAGGGTTTTTCTCTGGTGTGATAAGTGTTCAATTCGAGCTTGCTGTGTTGGGCTTCGTAGGCGGACGGGAGTGCTTGCGAGATGCCCGTATTTGGTTGTGGATTTGTTGATGGGTGTTGGCGTCAGGGCGGGTGTAGACTTCTTTGGTGGGATGCTCTGTGTCGTGGCTGTGCAGCCTGCTGGGGCGCATGGGTGTGTGTAACCGCATGCCGATGATAATAAAGGGACCTCCCCCCTTCAGTGTTTAGAGTTGATTATCGTCGCCCTATACAAAATTCAAATTGGGCGGCGAGCGCTGAGGCCGAACTTCATTATCACCTCGAAACGCTATGTTGAGATAGCAACATCAAGCGATGTTGATATAGCAACATCAAGCGAAGCGATCACACTTTTTCAGGATGTGTCAAGCGAAACCAATAATTTTGGGAGGCAGACTCAAACGAAACGAGCAATGTTCTTATTATTATTCTACTTTCCTCTTCTTCTTTTATATTTCTATCTGTCCTCACGCTCGCCTGAACTTTTTTATCCCTGGGGTTGATTATCCATGGAAAATGAAGCACATGAGCTACCCTACACGAGCACTTAAAAAATCAATGTTCATAAAGCGCTTGTAAATTAAACTTGATAGATTTGGAACTTTGGATTTTTCCTTTCTTCGTCCTCTTCTTATTCTCCTCTTCTTCTTCTTTCTTATTATTCTTCTACTGTATTCTTCTTATTTTATATTTCTCTCTGTCCCCACGCTCGCCTGAACTGTTTTATCTCTGGGGTTGATTATCCATGGAAATTGAGGCACATGAGCTACCCTACACGAGCACTTACACAAAACAATTTTCATGAGAGATAAGCCATTGTTGAGCATATTTCTATGAAAACTAAACGCCAAGGATGTCTCAAAACGTGCTCGGCTTGGTCTCCTCTTGATCATCTCTTACTTCGAGATTATGCTGAGGTCTGCTGGGCTACTTGTATTATCTCTCCCTGAACCCCGAACTTTATTATCCCCTAGTGTTTATTATCACGGGCATGAGGTTATGTGTGTGTGTGGGTGCTCAGTCACATGTTCGTGTGGTATGCTTCGTGTGGCTGTGTGCTCTGGTCTGCTGTTGGAATTGGTGGGTCCGCCAGGTCAAGTTTGTCTGTGTGTGTGTGCTTATGCTGTTTGCGTAAGTTCGTACGAAGCTGTTTCGCCGCGTGTGGAATTGCCGTTGAATCGAGTCCCGTGTCAGGTCAGGTGCTTCGTCAAGTTGGTCGATCCAATCCCTGCCAAGTATAGCTACCAGATAGCCACTGCGAAACGTGTACGTATGCATTGGTGGTGGTATGGTTGAGATTGGTAGTTGTTGGGTGCTTGAGCATCTTGTATATGCATTGCACTGTATGTGACACGTGGAGTCGGACTCATTCGTCTGAGCATGGGGCCGTCCTGCTCCTCCTCGTGCTCCTCGTCGTTGCTTTGTTGCCTGTAGTCATTTTGGCTCAAACTGGCTGGAGATATCCTGATTCGGGCATGGCGACGTTGAAAATTTTAGGCGTTCCGCTGAGCCAGCCCGTGAGGGCAGTGATCTGGCCGTGCCTCATCAAACACCTCCCATTCATTTTGGAGCTCGCAGTCCCTGGCATGGCCAAAGGTAAGGGTGTTGCGTCACCAGCTCAGCTCGCGAAGTTCCCGCTCGGAACGGTCCCGGCCATTGACGACGGCGCCATTCGGTTTGCCGAAGCGCCAGCAATCTTGGCATACCCAGCCCGGAACACACAACTGGAACGACCTGTGTTGAGAGGATCTTTTTGCCGCAAAGCTAAGATCGACGAGTACCTGCACTGGCACCACGGGAACACGAGAATGATCGTTCCTCAAGCCGTACTTCAAAACGGCGGTGCGGTTTGAAGCCAAGAGGAGTTGGATGAGGCCAAGGAAAGGCGCACGAGACAATATTGGAGGCGTGCGCGACGGGGTGGCGCGAGGGGGGCATCGTCCTAAGAAGGGGGGCTTCTTCGAACGGCAGGGGCTTCGTCGAAGAGCCCAGGGGCGTGCAAGAAGGCTTCTTAGGAGCCAGAGGGGCTTTTGAGGAGGCCCCTGCCTTCTTAGACGCCCCGCCGCCACCTCAAAGGCCGACCCCCTCTCGCCACCCTCCCCGTGCGTGCCGCCAACAATTCGGGGGCGGAAAAGAGGGGGGTGACGACTAGGGGGGGGGGGTGGATCTCATGGCGTGGGCCATGATATTTCCCCTGATCTCATGGCGCCTCTTCGTTTTCATTACGTCCCTGGCCCCTCCGCTGGGCCGCGCACGTGCCGCCGATCATGATTTGCACCCCCCGCTCTTGGACACTCCCCTCTTGGCCGCTCCCGAACAGTGGAGGCCGTGCTTCTAGACCCAGGGGCGCAGCACGCGGGCGTTGGAGGCGGCGCGTTCCTCGCCGGGCTGCCGAGGCCCTCGGTTGCCGACTTCATCGGGCACGGAGAGGTTGCGCAGGTGGGAGGGCGCTTCGGCAGGACCGTGGACCTCTCCAGGGGGCCACATGCGAACCCTACCCCTACCCCCCACGATTTCTGAGGGGGAGGGTGGGGGCCACTTGGCCCCACCCTCCCCCTCAGAACTCGTGGGGGGTAGGGGTAGGGTTCGCATGTGGCCCCCTGCTCTCGCCGTTCCCGCGCACGTCCCGCTGGCTGGAGTCGATGGCGGCTCTGCCCTTCCACGGCGGGGTGCGCTGTGCACTCTCGGCCCTCGGGGAGCTCGACCTCGGTGATTCGGGCAAGAAGCAGACGCTGAGCAAGCTGGCTTGCGCCACCGAAGCGGGGCTCGCTGGCATCGCCGAAGCGCAGGCCGCCTCGGAGGCCGGCCGCTGAACAGGGGTCGGTGAATTGCGCACGGTGCGCGGCGCGGTGCCTCGGAGTGGATGCACGGTGTGGTCCTTTTCACGGCCTGGGGCGCTCCAGAACGGGCCTCGCTGCCGACGGCGGAGGGCCTCTGGGGGCCGCCTTCCTCGTCGTCGCTGCTCCCCTAGCTCCTCCACCCAAGCTGTGTGGAGGGGCTGAGGGCTTCTTGGGGCTGCCTTCCTCGTCGTCGCTTCTCCCCCTGCTCCTCCAACCAAGATGTGTGGGGGGAGAGTAAGAGAGGGAGCTGCGTCGGTTTTTGGTGCAGAGAGCGTCTCGCGCTCCTGTCAGGGTGCTCCTCGGGCAAACGCTTACACGCGACGGCGCCCATGCAGAGGGATGGCAGCAACGATCGCACAGAGCCGCAGAAGATATTGAAGCTTTCGGAGGTCCGCGCGGATTTCTCTTAGGTCGGCGCTGGACCCCCCTCCCTGCTGCGCGAAGCGCACCAGGGGCGGCGCCAGAGGTGCCGCCAAGGGCCCAGCCCGCGTTTCGAAATGAGGGGGGGCGATGGGGGGGGAACGAGGGGGCTCTAGAGGGCCCCCCTGGGGCCCCGAAGGTTCATGAAAGGTGCACCACTCTCCCCCCCCCCAATTTTTGCCCCCAAGAAACAACGCCCGAGCCCAGCAAACGCACGCCAGGTTTATGCAGCTGGTCTGGTCCTTCGACCCAGGTCAGAAAGTCATCCGCTCAGCCGGTGCCGGGCTGCTACTCTGCCTCGCGGACCCGCGCGAGGACCAAGAGCCCGCAGCAGCTCCAGAACGACGGTAACGGCGTGGTGGGCCTGTCGGCGGAATGAGCGGGGCCGCCGCCCAGTTCCGCCGACCCCACGAGGCTGCTGGAGGAATTTGGGGGATGCGGTGGTCGAGGGCCGTCGTTGCCGTCGTCGTCGAGGTTTGAGGTTTTCGTACGGCTTCCACCCTTTCTGGGCCCTCCGCATGGCTTCTCGTCGCCGCGGCTGGGTTCCCTTCGAGATGCTGGCCAGAGTCGTGTGTGCTTCTGTTTTTCCTCTGGCCGCCCTTGCCGAACCCTGGGGCCGTCAGACAAATCAATCAGTATGACGTGCCAGTCCCAGGGAAGGACGGTGGTGTCCACGCTGTGGACAGAACAACACGACGTCGGGGTCTGGATAGGGGAAGGGGAGGGAAAGGGACAGGGGATGGGGAAGGAGGAGGGGGGGAGGGGAAGGAGGAGGAGGCGGAGGAGGAGGAGGCGGAGGAGGAGGAGGCGGAGGAGGGGAATGGAAAGGAGGAGGTGGAGGAGCAGGAGGAGGAGAAGGAGAGGAGGAGGACGAGGAGGAGGAGGAGGACGAGGAGGAGGAGGAGGAGGAGGAAAAGGAGGAGGAGGGGGAGGGGGAAGGGCTCTGCGGGTGCTCGGGCCCTGGGGCGCTTTCCAGCAGCTGCGCCTCGGCGGGAGCCTCGGAGCCAGGAGCGTCCCTGAAATGCGGGCCAGCGCGCGAGGCGGGCGAGCAGTGGGCGCGGGGCGGGAGTCTGGGAAACCTGGCCAGAGCACGGGGCGGGCGCGAGGCTGGGTGCGGGCGGGCACCAGGCGAAACCCCAGGGCATCCACCCAGTGCCACTGTCGAAGGGATCACCTCCCAGTCGTGCAGGCACTGTTTGGGGACACAAGCTCTGCTGCACTTACCATGTCGTTCGTTCGCCCCCAGTGTTCTTTCCAAGAGGCATCTCGCTGACAATTCGCTTGCTAAATATACGCTTTTCTTCAGCATGCCTACAGACTGCCTGTTGCCCACTTGTTTAGGAACGCGCTGGTGCAGTACACTGGTGGTGGCGTCAATTCAAATGGGTTGCGCCGAGTTCATCGACAGCCGTGTGTTGAAGCGGGCCCAGCGAGCTGGCACTCAGCCTTGTCTGGACCATGGTTCGGGCGCGGATTCGACAGCGATTCGGGCCGCATCACGATGTGGATGAGCCGCGGCCAGCTCCCCTACCTCTCCGAGATTTCACGCGGAGGGGGGGTCACGGGGGACGAGCGGAGGAGGTCGCTGAGGGTGCGCGCCAGGGACCTGATGAGCGTCCCCTCGCCAGCGCGATGGCGAGGGCCGCTGTCCGATCTGCCAGCCGCCGCGTCAGCGCTGGGCCGATCCGTCCCCCCTGCAGCCGGAGCTGGAGAAGGTGGACAGAGGGTGATGGAGGGAGAGAGGGCCCAGAATGCTGGGAGCGCATGACGTGGCCGGCTGGGCGAAAGCTGGATGCGCGTGTGGCCGCGTGTCCTTTCAGCGTTTGTGGGCACGCCAGCGGCCAGCCCCTCGCGTGTGCATCCAGCGCGTGGCCTCCAGACGTTCCACGTTTGTGTCCAGTCGTGAGCGTTTCCAGCTTGCTGGTTTGAAGAAGAGGGATGGAGAGAGAGAGAGAGAGCGAGAGAGAGAGAGATAACAAATAAACATAACTAATGAGAAAGAGAGAAGAGGCGGATGGAGGGCTTGCGACCACCCGATTCTCAGGCGTGCTTCCGCTTGTCGGCTTCGTTCGAACGCCCGTGCGCGCGTGCTGGGGGGGATCCACGAACTGTGTCAAACAATTCTGCGAAGGCCATTCGCGCGCGTCAGCCGCTCGCGCATGTCGAACTCATTCCAAAATTTGCATCGCCGACGAGAAGAAATCGCCATCGTTATCGGCGGGCATGATCAATATCTGCGCCGTCATTAGCCATGCCGTCGTCATCGCCACCATCGCCACCATCATCGCTAGTTTCAGAATCGCGTCTGCCGTTGTCGGCGTTGCCATGATACCGCGCCCGCCCAAATCACCGACTCGCACTGAAGTGCCCGCTGGGGAGTGCTCAGCGGTCGGTGCCACCGCGGTCGCGTCGGTCGCGCCAAACCAGCTGGCCGCAGTGCGCGCGAGCATGCGCGGGCTAGCGCGGCCGCAGAGAAGCACCAGCCAACGCCAAACACTCATCGCAATCGCCGCCGCATCGGTTTTGCAAACCAAATTGCAGGTGGGCGGGTGCAAGGACGTGGAATTTGCCAAACCTACTGTTGAACTCAATTGCAACACGTAAGTCGCACTTCGCCGGCTGCCCCACCTAAATTACACGACGTAGGTTGCACCTCAGATGCTGCACAATGCAGGTTTAACAACATAGGTTGCGCCACGCAGGTTGCACCGCATGGGCTGCTCCACATATATCGGACAACGCAGATTGCACAGCATGGACTGCTTATCATGAACCGCACAACGTATAACTATTGCGCCATATCGGTTGCTCAACATATAGTTATATGTGTAAATATAGTTCTATGTTGTACAATGTTTGATTGGACCACACCGGTTGCACAGCGTATAGTGCACAACATCGATTGCACACCATAGGTTGGACCACGTGCAGTGTACCACACATATTGCTCCACATGCGCTGCACAACATAAGTTGCAGCACGTAGGTTGTACTACACAGAGATGGTGCAACATGTGTTTGTCCATACGATCTACCCAGCATAAGCTGCACACCGTCTATTCCACCACATAGGTTGCACAGCATCGATTGCACCAGTCATGTTGCACAGCATCGTTCGCACAACATAGCTTGTACACCATAGGTTGGGCCACGCGGGTTGCACCACCCAGATTGCACTGCATGAATTGCACAACGTGGAGTTTGCCACGTTGGTTGTACCAGATATGTTGTACCACATCGGCTGCACAACGTAATTGGCAACACCTATATTTCTATAAGCATGATTGGGGTCCAGGATTGCGAACATGTCTGTGTATGCCATGTTTTTTCCCCCCCGCTATCCTGGTCGGGTCGGGGGTTGATTGCGCAGGGCGCCCTCAAAACATCTCGGCGCGTCGCTGCGCCCCTCGCCTTGGACGCGAGCCTCCTTGCGCGCTCTGATGTCGCTCCACCTTCCTCGCCCCTCCTCCCCTTTCGTGGCTCGCCCTTCTGGCCCTCATTTCGCTCGTCTTCGGGCCCTCGTTCGGTCCGTCGCTCTGGGCGCTGCCGTTGCTTGAATGGAGCAATCACAAAGAGGCTTGGCGCTGACCCACGTGCAAATACGGAACGCCCCTCCATAGCCACTTGAGCCCGAGCTGCGCCGGCCGATCGCACGGCTCGCGGAGGCGGCCATGGGCGATCGCCAGAGTTGCCCGCGCGCGCGGCCGCGGCGGCCCCCCCTGCTGGCCGCGGCCGCGCTCGCCCCCGCCGCGGCGGGCCGCGGAGACGAGTTGGCGCCCGGGTCCGCCGAGACCCTGCGCTCGCTCGTGGCGGAGCTCGCCGCCAGGCACGACGTCGCCGCCCTCGCCGCCGAGCGCGCCTCGGGGCTTCGGGAGGCGGTGGAGGCGGCGCCCGCGGGCGGCGCCCGCTGCGAGGTGGGCGGAGCGGGCGCGGAGGACGCGGAGCGGGCCCCTGCGTGGACGCTGCTCGGGCAGGCGACCCCGTGGCCGCCGCCGTTGCGGGGCAAGGGCAGGGTCTACAAGCCGCGCCCGCGGGACCCGGCCCTGCCCTCCGCGTGGCGCCGAGTGAGCGGCGTGCGCAGCCCATGCTACCACGCCGGGTCGGACGGGGAGCTGGCGTGCCTGCCCCTGCTGCTCAACCTGGCGCCGCCCAAGTGTGGGACGACGGATCTGTACTACCGGGTGCTGGCGAATCCCAGCGTCGTGGAGGGCGAGCAGGTCGTGGCCCTGGACGAGATCGAGGGCAACGCCGTCAAGGAGCCCAAGTATTGGCTCCACGGCGTCAAGCACGGCATGCCCGTGGAGGTGTACGCCCAGGTATACCTCCCGCTGGCGCGAGCAGTGGCCGGCCCAAGCGCGAACTCGACCCAGCTCGAGGGGAGCCCAGGCCCAGCGGGCGCTGGCGCTGGGGCACATCAGGAGCTCCTGAGCATGGATTTCTCCGCCACGAACTTCTGCGCCAGGCCCGCGGCTCTCTGGCGCGTGTTGCCAGAGTCGAGGTTCGTGGCCGTGCTGCGGGATCCAGTGAAGAGGGCGGAGTCGCATTTCAACTTCGCCTTCACCATGTACTATTCCGCCCCTGGGTGCCACCACGAGCACAGCCCCGCGTTCCTCCACGAGAACGTTGTCAACATCACCGCGGCGTTCCGGACCTGCCTGGCAGACTTCGGCCGCACGTGGTGCTGGGAACAGCAGCGGGGCCCCGACAGGGGTCCCTGCAGCGAGAGGGCCCGGAGCCCAAGGTTCGTGCTCGACGGCCTCTACGGCACCTCGTTGGTGCGCTTCTTGGACTTCTACCCGCGGGACCGTTTCTTTCTCCGCCGCCTCGACGAGCTCGACTTCCGGCGTGACAAGAAGACCGCGGCGCGCACCCTTCGAGAGCTCTGGGCCTTCGCGGGCATCAGCAGCGTGGAGCTGCCCAAGCAGAAGCGGAAGGCCGCTCACACCAAGCTGAGGGAGAACGAGCAGACCAGGACGGTGTTTTTTGCCCACCTGCTCGAGGAGACGCGGACGATGCTGCGAGAGTTCTATAGGCCAGACCTCGCGCGCTTGCACGCCGCCTTCGGTGACAAGAGCCTCAGCTGGTGGTGACAAGAAAAGAGGACCCAGGCTGCTGTTGACTCTCTCCGCCCAGGGCGCTCGAGGGGCCCAGCTTTCGGCATTTCTCCCTCCGCTGTCGTCGCTTTTGCATTCGTGGTTCGTCCCTTTGTCGTCGTCCTCCTCCTTCTCCTCCCGATCCTCCTCCTCCTCCTCCTCCTCCTCCTCTTCCTTCGACTTCGACTTCGAACTCCCATTCAAGCATCCTTACTGACTGTCACTCACTACTCTGGGCACGCCTACACCAGGCACCAAAACTTCACGAACGACATCGCCGAGGAGCCGCGAGCGCGGCTAGCTCGGACGGAACGCCTGCGGCCTGCAGGGGGGGAGCACGCCTTCACACGGCCACGCACCGCCCCCAAGGGGCCCCCAGGGAACCAGGAGCCCAGGACGCCAAAAAGGGTGCCCCCCCAAGGCAGCACTCGGGTCCCAGACGGGTCCCTAGTGCCACCAGCAAGCTACAGGCCCGAACAGGCCAGGGCACTTAAAACCCAGTCGTGTGGCTACAACACCACCGCGGGGCCCTATTCGAAACTAAGTCCAGGTCAACTTACCACCCAGACCTTTGGCTAGGGCACCCCGCGGAGCTCTACCTAGTTTTTTGGCGGCACCCCAGGCACGGAAAATATGGGCCAGGACCGCCATCAAATCTACAAGCTTGTTGGACTCATTCACAGGGATCTCAAGAGGGTTTCGCTGCAGGACCTTTTCCCACTCCACGTCCGACGGTGCCCCTCCCCACGCCTCTGCCTGCTGCTTGTTTAGCTCCTCTGCGCCCTCCACGTTCTTTGCCACCAGGATGTGACCTCGGAGCTCGAAGGTGCACGCCAGGATGTTCGAGTCGAACGTGGGGGAAAACCCGAACTCGTGGATCCACAACGAGGCCTCCTCTGGGGTCCCCTTGGAGAGCATGTCTTTGATCCTCTGGCCGATTCCCAGATACTTGCGAACTTCCAGTGGGCAGTCGCCCTGATTCAAGAAGTTGTCTATATCTGTCAGAATGCTGCCAAATACTTGCACCTCTGGCGGGCCGCGGCTGTGGCCCTTGCCCGCAGCCTCGACCTTGTCGAGGTATGCCTTGTACGCTTTCTGTCCCTTCTCCACGAGCACATGCTCCTTCGGGAAGAACATCTGAATCGAATTCTGATACTCTAGACTGCGCACACGACTCTCCAGCTGGTACACCAGCTTCCTCACGGCTGCCTCCTTGGTCTCCTCCTTCTTCTGCTGCTTGGGCTTGGTTCCTCCTCCTCCCCCAGACTCGTCCGTGAGATCGAGCAGCCAGCTCCCTTCTGGCATCTTCGTCTAAGTGCCCCGTCGGCAGATCAAAGGGCGCGAAAAAGTCGAGCTCGTGCTCTGCGAGGTGCGGTGCCAGATGCGTGTTCAAAATGTGCAGCCTCAACACCACAGGGTCGTCCGAGCCAAAATCACATAGACGGCACTCCGTGAACTTCACACAAATAACATCCCCCGACCTGCCCACGTCTTTACACATTCCCTTTTCCATAGAATTTGCCATGTGTTTCTGTGCTTGTGCGTATGACGAATAACATGTTCCACATATGATGCATTGGTTACTCACGCAGGCAACTCTACCCAAGATATGTGCACCATGCTCGCCACCCCGCGTGTGGACAAAGTGCGACGTGAGCGCAGCCTTACTGTGAAAAAAAGTGCCGCAGATCGAACCCGCCTCATTCCTGGCCCAGCATCTGTACCTCCCATCCCCTCCCATCTTCTGTCGACGCCGTTTAGCATACTGATCTCTGTGTGTCCAATCGTGTGACTGAAGATCATGTACATCCACCCTAACAAAGTCCTCCCAACCCTCCAGAATAACTCTAATAGCACTCATACCGTAATTCTGTAATAGCACTAGACCATCATCGAATACTTCAAGGGCTTCGATGTCCCTGAGCCACTGCTGCGCCCAGGGATTGACTGCGGTAGCTTGTTGTTCGCACACCGGCGGCTGAGATACGGTGACACCCGCCAGCGTTGCACTGAAGTCGCCAAAGACGACGGCCAGTACTTGTGCTCCCTCAGTCGGGTGCCGAAGGAGACCCTGAAGCCATACGAGCCTACGAATTCTGCATTCGATGAACAGCGACGCAATGCGGAACCTGGCAAGCACATCTAAGTTGTCCAGGCTGCGTGTCTGGCCTGCCTCGTTCTTTGTCGCTGTGCCGTGCAAGATCACACGTCCACGCCGTGCGAGGAAACTCTCCAGCGGTGCAATATCACTGTCCAGCAGCGGGCCATTGCACCTGGCCAAACTTTCCACCCCCGAGAGAATCGCATTCATGACGTACCCTTTATACATAATCGCCCTCCACTGAAAAGCAACCTTACTCGTCCAGAAGCTCCCCATCCTCGCCCATGCTGCCATTCCCGAAATAAGACGGAACTTAATCTCCATTCCCACCCCAAATCTAGCAGACAAGCGTACGCCTAAATAACGTGCACACGCAAGCGTACGCCCAGGGAGCTTATTCGGGCGCAACAGCAACTGCTCGTTCTGGTATGCCCCTCTCCCGCAGCACACAGGGAGGGACTCTTGCTTCGAGACATTCTGAACCAGCCCCATGGAGCCCAACATGGACGAGATCTCGGAGTTCTGCTTTTCACTGAATATCAGACCTTCTTACATGTCGGGTAACGGTACGGCGTCAGCCAGGTCATCCACAAACAAAGACGTTGCGGCCTTCACGGCCTCACCCGAGATTGGGCATGTCGCAATAACCCACGGGCGTGCTTTTGCATCGAAAAACTCCTGCAGCTTAAACACGTACGCCATCACGAACAGATACACCATAACAGGATCCCCAGGCATACATCCTTCCCCCATTGTGAAAACCACCTCGTCCTCCTCCTCACCCTTGGTATTGAATGCGAACGTAAAGTGACTATTCTTGATTCTATCTAACATGATCACCACGTCCTCAGGATGCAGCACCTTGATGGCTGCTTGGTTGAGACACTTTGTCGAGATCGAAAAGAACGCATTCGTCGCATCATGCAAGCGACGCAGATGTGCACCGCCTAGGCGCTTAAGCCGCCAGGCCGAACACGTTTGCACAACTACTGCCCCCTCCCTTCGTCTAAGCTTTAAAGCCCCATATGCCCCCGACGGTGTCGGCACTTTAGGCGCTCTGTGGAGCACTCCTCTGAGAAAAGCCTTGCCAAGCGAGCAGACCATCATCACCACCCGTTCTCCAGCTGTCCCCTCCTTGTCATTCCCCTTCCTAATACGTGCAGCAACAGCACGCAGCCACGCCAGCGGCAGGCGTTGAAAGACTCGCACACATAACAGGATCAGCTGCACAAACATGTAAAACTTCGGTGAGATGATATTCTCGATGTCCGACACATGCCCAAGGCCATGCCGTACTTCTTTCATCCGAGGGTTTGCCCAGCACGTGAAAAAACATACACGCAGCAACTCGATCGGGCAACTCCATGCTGGGGTGGATTTCCAGAGCTTAGCTTTCCATATCGCACGTTTAAGTCTTTGAAGATCTTCCTCCACCTCCTCCTCATGCACGGTTTGTGGCACAGCACGAGCACACGCTCTGGCCACGGCGAGTTCTCCTAGCGTAGCTTGCTTCGCAGAACAGCCACCTTCAGGCCCCGATGACTTCATCTTGTCCTCCCACTCCTGCCTCGTGCCCTCCGCCCTGAGTTTGCCAACTTCCCTCTTCCTTCCTCCACGTGTAGTCTGGGCCAGTAGCTTCGCAACACGATGGATGGCATGCGCATCCCTGCGTTCAACGGCTTCTTGAAACGCTTCGCACCTATCAGTCTTGATCTGCTCCCAATACTCCTGCTTCCTCCTCCTCAACCATCTGCTTATCCTCCTGATCTGCAATGTCAACCGAAGCTCCTTGCTCTCCAAGTCCTCCCCCTCCACCCCCTCATACTCGAAATCAAACTGCTGCCTGACGGTGCGGCGTTGCTCGAGCAACGCCTTCACTTCTCTGGCGTGACGCGTGTGATCTTCTGTGTAGAGCGGGGACTTGCAGCAAAAAATAGCACCGGCTTCATTCACTGCCGCCATCAAGACACGGTTGGCCTCGTCGGCGATCTCACGTGGTGGCAGCGCAATCACCCGTTCATATTCCCTTGATAAGTGTCGTTCAACATGCTGGACAAAGGGTTTGCGCTGCCATCCACGCTGTAGCATCATAGACATTGCTTCACCAGAGAAACGAGGTGAATCAGCAATCTGGTACGGTTCTGCAATAACTGTGAGCGGGATTGCCAAGCCAATAGGTACATGATCCCACAACTTGCTTTGACTGTGAGCCTGTAACCTCCAGGCCGATCTACGTAGCGTTCGGCACCATGTGACTTCGTGTGCCCACGTCTGGGGTATAAAAATGAAGTCGATCACTTTGGATGTCTCGGTGCCGTAGTACGTGTCGCCTGCAGGCCACTTGGTATTGATAGCACATAATGAATGCGACGCGAGCAGCGCCATAAGCCCTTCGGACGTGTCGTTCATTGGACCATTCCCGTGTATCCCAACAATCTCATCATGCGCCTGAAACTGACCATTGATATCTCCCATGATGATAGGCGCCCACCGCGCTGATACTGACCCTAGCAGGTGCGATAACCAACTTAGCATAGCCGAAACTGTCGCACGCCACTGCATCACTTGAGGTCGCCCTCTGGGTTGAGGTGGAAAGTACAGCAGAATCACTACGATGCGCAGCGGTCCTCTCTCGAACTTGATGGCACCACAACGACCCCAGAAGTTTTTCGGCGTGTGCAGAAAACCTTTGATATGAGATCTGGTCAAGAACTTTCTCCTCACCCACAGTGTAAGTCCGCAGCTCTTGTTGCAGTGTGCACATCTGTTCCAGCCAAAGCCAATACTCCAGTGATTCTCAGCCCGCTGTGATACGTCTGTGTGATCACCCGACGAACGACGCTGTGTGCCTATGAGGCCCACGAGGTCGAAATTGCTCAATTCGTGAATTATGTCCAGGCTCCTCTCGCGATTCGCACTCTGTGGGTTGTACTGTGCAATCAGAATGCCACGACGGGCTGCCGATGCCGCGGGAGCTGCAGGTGCCATTGCATGAAGCCAAGCCGCTGCCCCGCTTGCTGAAGGCGCCCGAAGCGGGGGCCCCGCCGAGGGCCCCCCATCCCCGAACCAGAGTGGCGCCTTTCCTCCTCTTCCTCCTCCTCCTCCTCCTCCTCCTCCTCCTCCTCCTCCTCCAGCCGCCGTTCCTCCGCCTTCTCCGAGCCTGGCCTCGTCTACTCGTAGAGCTCGGCGAGGGCAGAGGCCATCTTGCCCGCTGGTTTTCGCCCCCGAGTTCAAACATCGGCACGACGCGTTCGGGCTGCGTCCTACCTACGCCTCCTCTGGTTTCACGCTCCTCGTTTCGTTACGTCTCCCCTCCCGCCTCCCTCCCTATTTTTTAGCGCCTGGCAGCGTGAGCGGGGGCATGCTTAAAGTCGAGAACAGGGCCCACAACACATGATCAGTGGGTTCGGGTGGGCCACCCTTCAGCCACTCCCCACTCGTCTGGCCAGGCCAGCCTCGCAGGACAGAGGAGCCCCTTCGAGAGCCTTCCTGCGGCATGCGGTCGCTTGCATGCCTTCCCCAGGATATTGGATCGACGGTTCCCCGAGACACCACGAACCTCACACCACCAGAGCCCGCGCAGTCCGTCTCCTCGTACGCGTCCGTCTTCGCCTCATCATCGTCTTGGTTCTCCTCCGCCTCCACCGCGTTTGGTATTGTCGCTCCGCCTCCTCCTCTTCCTGCGTCTTTTTCCTTTTGTATCCTCCACCTCCGCCTCACCAGCCGAGGATGAGTAGGAGGACGAGTGGGAGGCGGAGAAGGATGATGAGGAGGAGGAAGATGTGGAGGAGGAGGAGGAGGAGGAGGAGGAGGAGGAGGAGGAGGAGGAGGACCAGAGCACTCCCAGGGTACATCAGAAATGCTGGAAGACACCCTCCAGACCCAAGTCCCTCCCCATGATAAGACCTACCATAATGTCTTTCCACTGCAGGATGCGCCTCCTGCCAGCCTCTTGGAACGCATCGCCGTCGCACTCCCCATGCTTCAGAAGGGGTGGGCGCGCGTCGGTCGGGGAGGGTAGATGACTGGGGGGGGCAGGAGGAGGGGGGAGCAGGGTGGAGGAGGGATGATGAGTAAGGAGTAGGAGGGAGAAGGTGGAGGAGAAGGAGGAGGACGAGGAGGAGGAGGAGGAGGCGGATCCGCACTGTTCTGCGCTCCCTGGTGCACTGCTGCTGCCAGCTTCGACTGAGCTTGGCGGCATCGGGATTCTACCCACATCTCGGAGGAGGCGGGAGGAGAGTGGAGTGCTGCCCCACTAGGCCAGCTCGCCGCGTTCACCTGCGAAGTTTACGAACGAATGCGCACTCTCATGTCTTGACGGCGCACGGCCTCTGTACCAACCCGGTTGTGGAACGAGGCTCCGCGATTTGGCTCATGCCGCCGGAAGTCGATTAAGGCACGAATGTGCTTGATTGATGATGCTCATATTGCACTCGGGTTCAGAAGTGCCCTCCTTGGGGTCGACGGTGTTGTTGTTGGATAAACAAAAGGCAACGATTAACTTTGACCGCCACTGCACGCTCGTCCTTCTGTTCGTATGGACTACCTAAGCCATTGGCGCAAACTTGTCCTCCAGCTTGTCCTCCAAGTCGGACGGCATCGCGGTCCTCCCTACGCCAAGCACACGAATCCCTCCTCCAAGGCGCTCGAGCCCGAACGCTCGGCCTGGAGGCCTTGAGGGAAACGGCCGTGGACGCATGTTGGCCCAAGTGGGGAGGTATCCCGCTTGAGCCAAAATTGCTACGGGGGAGGAGGAGGAGGAGGAGGAGGAGGAGGAGAAGGAGAAAGAGAGGAGGAGGAAGATGATGACGAGGAGGATGGGGGAGCGGAGGGCAGGAGGGGGGTGGGTGTGGGTGTGGGTGGGGTGGGTGGGTGGGTGGGTGGGGTGGGTGGGTGGGGTGGGTTGGGTGGGGGGTGTGGGGTGGGGGGGTAAGACGGTGGGGGTACATGGGATGGGGAGGAGGAGAAAGAACGAGGGAGGGGAACAGAAGGAGATGCTGGATGAGTTAGGAGGGTGCTGAGGATGATGGCCGGGGGGGAGGGAGGGAGGGATGGAGGGAGAGAGGGGAAAGGGGGGGAGAATGAACAAAAGGGGGAGAATATGAAGATGAGGAGGAGGATGAGGATGACGACGACGACGAGCTGGATGACGAGGACGAGGCGTATGGGGGTGAATGATGATGCTGATGATGATGGTGATGACGATGACGATGCTGATTATGATGATGATGCTGCTGATGATGCTGCTGCTGATGCTGATGCTGACGATGATGGTGCTGTTGTTGCTGCTGTTGTTGTAGCTGTCGTCGCTGTTTTTTTGGGTTGAGGATGACGATGATGATGCTGCTGCTGATGGTGATACGGCTGTTGCAGATGCCGATGCTGATGTTGATGATGATGCTGATGCCGTTGCTGCTGATGCTGCTGATGATGATGGTGGTGATGACGAACATTATGTTGATGCTAATGATGCTGCTGCTTACACTGATGCTGCTGATGATGGTGCTGATGATGATGCTGGCGATGGTGATAATGACGATGATGAATATGCTGCTGATGATGATTCTGAGGTGCTGCTGATGATGCTGATAATGGTGATGACGATGCTGCTGATGATGATGATGAGGAGGAGGCGGAGGAGGAGGAGGAGGAGGAGGAGCGACTGAGCGAGGGGTAGAGGTGGTGGTTCATTAGTGGGTGGGTGGTTTGGTGGGCGGGGTGTGTTGGGGATGTTGTGGTGTGGTGTGTGTGTGTGTGTGTGTGGGCGTGTGTGCGTTTGTGTGTGTGTGTGTGTGTGTTTGCGCGTGTGTGTGTGTGGGGGATGGGCAGAAGGTGTAGGTGGAGGGGGGGCAATAGAACGGCTGTGAAAGGGGGAGGGCGGAATGGGAACGGAAGGAAATGCTGGACGAGTTAGGAGGGTGATGAGGCTCATGGGAGGGGAAGGGAGTGAGGAGGATGCAGGAATCAGAGGCGATGAGCATTAAGAAGAGGGGACGACTGGGAGGCGGAGACGAAGGAGGATACGCACGAGGCCAGAGGGAGGTGGAGGGCGAGAAGGAGGAGGAGGAGGAGGAGGAGGAGGAAGAGGAAGAGAGTGGGAGTGAGTATGTGGAGGATGAGGAGGAGGGGCAGGGTGTTGAGGAAGAGGATAATGGGCGGGAGGATGAGGAGGAGGAGGAGGAGAAGGAGGCGGCGGGCGAGGGAGGATGAGGAGGATGAGGATGGTTACGATGAGGAGGATGGGGATGATGATGCGCTGCTGATGTTGCTGCTGAATGCTAGTGATGGGGATGATGGGGATGCTGGTGACGGTGATGATGTGGCTGCTGATGCTGTTGTTGATGGGGATCATAGTGAGGGTGATGGTAAGGGGTATGACGATGCTGCTGCGGCTGCTGAAGCTGCTGATGAGGATGAGGATGAGGATGAGGATGAGGATGAGGATGAGGATGAGGATGAGGATGAGGATGAGGATTGACGATGACGGTCAGGGTGTTGTTGGTGATGCTGCTGATTAGGTTAATGTTGATGATGCTGATCCTGACGATGATTATGATGAGGATGATGTCGGGGATGGCGATATTGCTGCTGATGATATTCATGACGATGGTGACAATGATCGTGAGATTGAGGAGGAGGAGGAGGAGGAGGAGCAGGAGGAGTAGGAGGAGGAGGAGGACGAGGAGAAGTACAGGGAGGTGGATGATGAGGAGCAGGGGGTAACAGGCCGCACTGTCCTGATCAGCACCGTGCATGGCGGTGTGGACGTGGACGACGCGACCAAGACGATATCGGGCGAGGCCTGCTGCAACCCCTGGCCGTTGGCCAGAGGAGAGTGGAGGGGCTTGAGGACAGAAGCGGGAATGAAGGGAGGATGGCGGATGCGGGCCAGAGCGGGGAGAAGGAGGACGAGTAAGAGTTGGAGGAGGAGGAGAAGGAGGAGGAGGAGGAGGAGGAGGAGGAGAAGGAGGGGAGGAGGGGGGGGAGGAGGAGGAGGATCTTTAGGAGGGGCAGGCGGAGGTACGGGGAGGGAGGCACGGCGAAAGCGGAGGGGCAACCGGAGGAAGGGGGGAGGAGGGAGGGATGCAGAATCGACGAGGGGTTGTGGGATGAGGGGGCGTGCGAGGGGGATGAGGGGTAGTTATAATCGGGGGGGACAATGAGGACCGGGGCGACGGAGGAATATTAGCGGGATCACGAGCAGGAGGGACACAGCAGGGGGGAAGAGGAGCGGGGGACGATCGATTGTGAGGGCGGCGATCGATTGCTCGCGCTCTGTGCAGGTGGAGAACATCCAGAACGGCACACTGACAGTGGTCACCTCGTACGAGCGGCTCCCCACTGGAGGGTCTGGATCCAGGAGGCCCGCTCCCGCGCTACCGGGCCGTCTTCGACCGTGTCCTCGTCGTGGTCGTCGCCGTGGCCAGTGGCATCTTCATGATCCTATTTCTTCTCCTCCCCCCTCCTCCTCCTCCTCCTCCTCTCCTCCTCCTCCTCCTCCTCCTCCTCCTCCTCTCTCCTCTCTTCTCTCGACGGTCGTATCTCTCCTCTCTCCCCTTTCTCATCTTGCTCCTCTTTCCTTTCAGATCATTGCGCTTACCATTTGTTTGTCCGCATCCTTTCTCTTGATTATGTTTTCTGCAAGTGGTCCTAGTGTTGCTTTTCTTCGCCCTCCTCGTGATCGTCCTTGTCGTCCTCGTCCTCATCTTTCCCGTCGTTCTCCTCCTCCTTATCCTCCTTGCCATCCCCCTTTCGATCCCCCTGCTTCTTCCTCTCCTCCCTCCTGGTGCTTTCTCTCTTTCTATATCTGCTTCGCTCTCTCTCCCTCCCTCTCTCGTATGTTTTTTTCGTTCCTTATTGTATATTGCTTATCGTCAGCTACCGACACTGACCCTTGCTCAACAGCGTTTGCAATGTTGGGTTCTGGCTGATGTTCAGGGATAAATGGGCCCCGGTGCCGGTGTGGCGGGCTCGTCGCCACCAGTCGCCGTCGTCGCCGCTGGGCACCAGTGGCGGTCTGGCCGGCTCGCCGTCGCCCGTCGCCTCGTTGCTTTGCAGTGTTTTACATTGGCTTGCATTGCTTTGCATTGCTTTGCATTGCTTTGTATCGCTTTGCATCGCTGTGTAATGGATTACACTGCTTTGCATCGCATCGCATTGCTTTGCGTTGCATTGCATTGCATTGCATTGCATCGCCTTGCATTGTGTTGCATTGATTTGTTTTGCTTTGGTTCGCCTTGCATGTTGCTTTCCATTGCTTTGCATTGCGTTGCATTGCGTTTTTTGCTTGGTGCTGTTTTGCATGAATTTTCATTGATTTGCATTGCTTTGCATGGTGGTGCTTCGCTTCGCATTGCACTGCGTTGCTGTTACCTCATGGCGAGATCCCTGCAGAATGCTACGCTTCGCGAGAGGACACTCCCAGACGCTTGAGCAACTGAGCACGCGAGTCCTGAGCCAACAGCCTACGGAGCACAAGAGGCGCGACCCCGATTGGATTCGCTCGCACACGCCACGTGCGCAAAGTTCCCCTGGACCCGAGACGAGTAGAATGTTCTAGAGCAGCTTCTCGGGAACGTTGTGCGCACAGACCGCTGGAAAGTTGGAGATTCAACCCTCCAGGAAAGTGGCTGCTGAGAGGGGCAGCAGCAACTGCCGGCGCTACATAGTGTTGTATTGCGTTGCGTTGTTTTGCCTTGCTTCGCGTTGCTTTGCATTGTTGTGCTTTGCATTCCTTTGCGTTTCTTCGTATTGTGTTGCATTGCTTTGCATTGCTGCGCATTGGCGTTGCTTTGCATGGCTTCGCGTTGTTTTGTTTTGCTTGGGATTGCTTTACACTGTGCTGCATTGCTTTGCGTTCTTTGAGCCACGTAGATTACGTCACATGGATTGTACCACCTAGGTTTGAATGCACAGCACGTTTTGCAAAACAACTCTGTTTGGGGTCCGCGCTGGCCAACATCACACATGTATGTATGTGTGTATGTATGTATGCATGCATGCATGCATGCATGCATGCATGTATGCATGGATGTATGTATGTATGTATGTATGTATGTATGTATGTATGTATGTATGTATGTATGTATGTATGTATGTATGTATGTATGTATATATGTATGTATGTATGTATGTACGTATATATGCCTGCATGTATGCATGACTGCATGTATACATGTATGCATATACGCATGTATGCATGTATGCATGTATGCATGTATGCATGCATGTATGCATGTATGCATGTATGCATGTATGCATGTATGCATATATGTAAGTATGCATGTTATGTATGTATAAACACGATCACACATCATGAATACTGCTCTCCGCTCTTCCCTGACAACGCTGCTCGGAAGATTTCGACCCTCCCCGCGTATTCCTTTTACGCGCAGGGTTTCAAACATGTGTTTTCCCTGTGGCTATGCACTTCAATGGCTTTCCGTGTTTCATAAAAGTGCTCTCGCTGCAGAGTGGGCCACATTTTATGAGCGGCGAGATCTTCCCGTCGTTCAAAATGGCGCTGTCGCCCCAGCGCGTGCCACTTTGCTGGATCCGAGTCCTCTTTCATCGTTGTCGGCCTCATTTCTCCTCCTCCGCCTTTCCTCGGTCCTGCGTCCCGTGCGGGTTTCGCCCGCAGGGCTACCGCCTGCGAGCCGCCCCCTACCCTCCTCTCTCGTCGTCGTGGTCGTCGTCGTCGTCGTCGCCGCCCCGCCGCCGTCGTTGCCGCCGAAGTCGTCGCCGCCAGCATTTTTGTTCGTCGCTGTTTCCCTTCCTGTCTCCCTCTCTCCCTCTCTCTTTCTCTCTCCCTGTCCTTCTGTCTGTCTGTCTGCCAGCCTGTCTCTATCCCTCCCTCTCTCTTGCCCCAGAACTGCCGGGCATGGCCAGTCCAAAGGCATCTGACGCCTCGAACAAAGTCGCGACGGTCGGTTTTTCGACGTTCTCGGGCCCTGGCGACTCAGCGCCGAGATCCCTCCGGGTTGGCCCGCTTTGCGCTGAGGCAGGCCTGGGATGAGGGTACATCGTTCCAAAACGATGTGGCACGGTCTCCGAGGGTTCTGAGGCAATCTGGAATATCCCAGACCTGCCCGCTCTCAGGGATTCTAGTTTTTTCTTTTTATCAGAATGTGTCCTCGTCTTGCCATCGTCTTACGCTTCGGTTCCCGAAGGCCCACAGGAAGACGACTCATGGCGCGAAGTCCATACGAAGGACGAGGCCGAGAGCGCCTCGGGGGCCTTTTGATTGCGGAGGTGGCTCAGGGCTGAACGACTCGCGCGGTGTCAGAGACTTGGGACCATGCCGTCAATGCAGTACTCTGCCGTACAGCTGGCACGAGGGTTAAGACCAACCCTATCTCTCGACAGGTACCCTTCTCTGATCTTCGTGCTTCGGCTCCCCGCCTTGGATGCTCATCGCTTCCGCTATCTCCCTGGGGCCCTGCGCGCGAAGGGGCATCATGCTCTCGTTGCGTGTTTTTGTGGTGGCACCTTCTACCGCACCGTCGCCTCGTCCTCCCACCGCTCCCCCTGTCATCCACGCCGAGATTGATTATGGCGGCCGGCTGCTGCGGGACCCTGAGCGGCCTCTGAGGGCTCGGGCGTTCCTAGTCGCCCGCGCGTTCGCTGCTTCACGACCTTTTCCGCCCTGTCGCCGCGCGCAGGGTCGCGACGCCCAAAAGCGTGTTCTTGTGGTCATGCTTCCACTGCGCCATGGCGCCGACCACTCCTCGGGCACGTGGCCCTTGCCTAGGCCGGGCTCCCGCCAGAGCTCCGCTAGCGAAGGCCGCCTCCTCCCCCGCCGAGAGATGCGAGGTGCCGCTCCTCCTCTGCTTCGGGCGGGTGGTACTGGGAGGAGACCTACATGGGGGGTGGAAAAATTTGTCCCTAAAGGGGCTTTGTAGGGCCCCTTGTGGGGCCAGCGGTGGCCCAAGAGGAGCCCTACAGGGCGCTTTTCGGGCCCTTCTCTTCACCCCCCACGCAGGTCATCCCCCACTACCACCCGCCCGACTGCCGGGGACGCCGTGGACGGGTTTTATTGGCGCGCCGACCCCGGCAGTGGCCCCAGGCGGAGCCAGAAGCTCCTCTCGTTCCCCGCGGTCGCCGCCTGGGATCCAGTCCGATGCGATCGATCCGATTCGATATCGACTGCGGCCGCCCCGATTCGACCCTTGCGAGACGCTTGCAAGGATCGAGCCAGGCGGACGCTTGCAAGGACCGAGATTGTCGAATCGACTGAGGCCCGTTGCGACGGTCGGAAGTCGGCGAGACGATTGCCTGGCGCTGTCGTGTATCCTGTCGCGGCCGATCCAATCCGAGTTCGATTCCGCGCGGATTCAGCCCGATCCGATGCACATTTCGATTCGATTCGATGTGCCAGTTCGATGCTGGCTGATCCTGCCGCCCCAGATGGGCCGCCAGCGTCCGAGGTCTGCTCCCCGCAGGGAGCGTCAAGGGAAGGGCCTCGCCTCCAAGGGGCCGAGAACTTGCCCTCCCTCCCTCGGCGGAGGGCGGCGGAAGCAAAGCGGCCAGTCCTGCTTCGGCGGAGGGCGGCGGAAGCAGAGCTCAGCCCCATGCAAGAGAAGCAGATACTTCTGTCGCTCGACACTCACTTACCCGCCCTCCGCCCTCCCTCGTGCCTTCCTGTCCTGGTTGGCCCACGTCACCTTCCACACTCGCCGTAGCTTCGTCCGCCCACTTCCCATCTCCGTCATCCACGTCCGCATGGTTATGGGTGATGCTGGCGGCCAGGCCCTAAGTGGTCTCTGAGAGCTCGGCCGGGCGCAGACGCGCGATTCGCGCTGCCTGTACGCGACATTCCACGCCCTGTCGCCGCGCGCGGGGCCGTGACGCCAAAAAGTGTGTGCGTGGAAGGGGGGCCCTGGCTTTCTGGAGCAAGCGATGCATTCATTGCGAGAAGCTCATCCATTCCCCCCTCCTGCCATGCGCAGGCAACCAGAGTTCCGGGCCGACCTGGGCCCGAACCTGGTGGCCTACAAGCGGATCGATCCGCGAGGCTTGCGCCGCATCCGCTGATCGCCCTCATGTCAGGCCCTGTCAGGCCAACGGAGAATGTCAGACGCTGCGACCCCAACACTCGCGCCGTCAGATTGCATCTTGCCTGATGATGAATGCTGGTGATGGTGGTGATGATGATGATGGTGATGGTGATGTCATGGTGATGGTGATGGTAATGATGGTGATGATGGTGATGATGTTGCTGTTGAGTATGACGATGATGGTGATGCGGATGCTGATGATGCTGATGGTGGTGATGCTGATGATGCTGATGCTGATGATGCTGTTGCCGATGATGATGATGATGATGATGATGATGATGATGATGATGATGATGGTGGTGGTGGTGATGATGATGATGATGATGATGATGATGAATGATGATGATGATGATGATGATGATGATGATGATGATGATGATGATGACGATGCTGATGATAATGAGGATGAGGATGAGGATGAGGATGATGATGATAGTGATGATGATGATGATGATGAGGAGGATGAGGATAAGGATGAGGATGATGATGATGATGATGATGACGATGACGATGATGATGATGATGATGATGATGATGATGATGATGATGATGATGATGATGATGATGATGATGATGCGGAGGATTTCCAGGATTTCCGCCATCACGTAGTGATAACCAGGCTTGAGTGCTCAGCACTTCGGAAACAGGCCACGATCAATCCTGTCAAGGTATTCGCGCCTGGCCTTAGAAATTGGAAGCTTGCACGGTTCCCCCAGGCCTCTGAGCTGAGCCTGGCCGAAGAACCCACATGTGCGGCAAAACCAAATTTTAAGGTCTTTATGATAGGTCAAGGCGTGTGAGGGGTGAGTCCAGCCACCAGCTAAGTGTAAACGCCGCCCCTTAGGAACTCGACTAAGCTCACCGTTCACATGCTGGAGATGGAAGCACTCACTTTTTAACCATTCGGACACCACCGCCTTAGTCGCGGAGCCTTTACACACACTGCACGCCCTCCCACTTTCGGTCAGGGTATGTGCGGACGCGAAGCGTGCAATAGCAAGAGGGGGGGGAGGAGGAACTCTACCAGCACCCCGCACTCTCTGGTGTCCAGACAGTTGGGACGCTCGAGTGGAGTCTAAGCCGACACGCAGCAACCTCCTCCGAACAAGGCGAGCACGCTGCTCCACCTCTTGGATTTTGTGACGTTCCTGAGGGGAGACCCGCGCAAGCTTCGCGGCCTCCCCTGCAATAGCATCTACACACGAGTTGCCTAGCACTAGCCACGAGGGAAGACCTCGTGCCAGAACACCAGCTCCAGACAGATGAGACGGGATCTGAGCGACAACTATACACGCTGGAGATCGACCCTGCGAGGTTAGTAATTTGCCAATTTCACGCCATATGTCGGATTGTGGGCCTTGAGGCCTGCGAAACAGCTCGGCGTACCACCCGCGGGCAACTTCGTCACAGTCAGTGACATATAATATTTCACCTGCACTGAAACGCAAGGCCCATTCAAAAGCCCTGAGTTCACCTCTTGGAACGCTCTGTGCCGTTCCCGTGAGGGGCCCCAGCAAGAAAGGCCCCAGGGCCAAAGGATTGTAACTAGTAAAAGTGGCGAGCCCTATACCTACCCTCCTGAGCCTGGTGTCGAGAGTGTCACGACCCCCAGACGCGTCTCCGAAGATCACCAGAGGCTCCGAAGCAGTCCCCGTGCCTAAACAGCCGTCCCCGAGACCGTCATTCCCGAGACAGCCTCCAGAAATCAGCTCGACAGAAGGGGGAGGAGAAATGGAGGTCCAGGCGGAGGGAATGAGCCCTCGCATCCAAAAACAAGGAAACGCTTCCGCATCGGCCACTGCCGGCGGGAGTAAGTCGTTAGACTCATCAAAAGCACGCGAACCGTGATTCTTTGAGCATGTCCAACATCTGTGCAGAGGTGTGTCTTGCTCCGTGCCACAACGGTCGCACAGATCGTCAGCTCGAAGTCCCGCCTCGTGACTACGTACCTTCGGCCACCAGCCTCCAGTCGCCACCGTCACCAGCAGCTCGGACAACTGACGGCCCTTGCGGGCGTGCAACAAATCTGCAACCATGGCTCGCAAGGAGGTCATGTCAGCACCTCCTTCAAGGCCGCCTCCGCAGAACAAGGCCGACGCTTCCTTCCACTGCTTCAGCTCGTATGTGCGCTCGAACTCCGCCAGCAACGGGGCTGCCTGTTCCAGCACCTCAAAGTCACTACTGTCAAACTGCCAGGCGTGAACTTCAGCGGTGCCGTCATTTGGCACGCCCCAGTCCGTGGGAGAGGTAGGCGACCATCCTGCTTCAAGCAAATAAAGGATCACCGTGGTCATGGGGCCGCGCACGTGCCGTGTGCGCTGGCCCTGGGGAAGAGAGCGTAGGTGCGCCACCGCACGAGGCCAGGCCAGTTGGATAGAACGTCGTAGCCAAACCTCCGATAACCACACACTCAACCATTGAGAAATACATTGCTTGGGCAGCAGGTGGCCTGGGTCGCACCCTGGCAGCCGAAGTGAGAGTAACGTCGTCAAACATCTCCCTCGCCTCGACGATCCTGCAGCCGCTCCTAGCCGACGACGCTGGGCCAACATCGTCGACACCCGAATTGGCCGTGGACTTGATGTCCGTAGACAGCTGCAGCTTGCGGTCCAGCCCGTTGCAGCTTGCCCGACGCATGCCAGCGCCGAGCAGCTTGGGCGAAGCGCCGTAGCCGAGCGTGCGACTGCCCCGACTTCAGCTGCCGCTGCCGTACTGTAGCTCGACCTTGACGTCGTCCACTGCTGAGGTCGACCCCAAGATATGCCGTCTGGAGAGCTGCGCGCAGGTGAATGCCCTTGCGCTTCAAGGCCCTCACAACAGCGATTGCGTCGGCATGATGCGAACAAGTGATGATGCTCTTGTCCGCCAGGCCAAGATGAAGTCTCTGGAAATCCTTGGCGGTCTGAATGCCACCTCTGATCAAAGTCGTCCTAACATGAGCACGTCACCCTGACACTCTTTGCGATGGATCGTCAATCCAGATACGTTGCCGAAGGGATCCAAAAGAATTGCAAAGTCGCCGACACGTATTCGCCGTGATGCATTTGGCGAACCTCGTGCCGTTCCGTAGACCCTGCACTACAGACCGTGTCACCTCGAACGGTTCTGGAAAAAAACAATTGAGCTGTTCCAACATGCGTGGTGCCAGACACAGCTGTAGTTCTAAGAATAAAATAACTGGCGGAAGCCCTCTTTCCAGAGCGCACTCTGCGAGGGGCTCGAACTCTATGGAATCGTAGAAAGACGCGAGATCCCACAGCGTGTGACCGCTCGGGATCTGCAGCCGCGTGTGGACCTCATCCTCCAATGCCCGCACGAGTGCTTCTCGCAGGGCGCTGTTCCCTGCGACAGCCGCGTCCCAGTGATCCTCTTCAGCCTGCTCGATGGACCACTCCTTCATCTCCACCTCGCGCGCCATGGGCCAGACTCTGGCCAGCATCGCGATCGATCCTATAACTCGATCGCCGCCAGATTTTTTTCCCAACAATTTACCCACAATACAGAGACTTTGCCAAGGCCATGGCAATCCCTGTTCTATGAGCAGGAACAAATCGCACAGGGCCTGGATTCCTTCGTCAGGTAGACGTTGCAAGTCGCTGGGCGATAGGCGATCAATGCCGAGGCCAGCCCTCGGCTTCATCCGAGATAAAGCCGCTCGTGCATCGCTGACAGTGGGAGGTGGGAGCTGCTCGATCTCCGCCTGACCACGAATCATAGCGCACGTACGAACGATGGAATCCCGAGTGGCCACTGAAGACTTCCATTTAGAATGATACACCTCCACCTTGCGATCTACGATATCCTTGGGATGAACAAGAACTCCGTCATCTGCTGCATCATGCAGCTCGTCTCGTTCGGGATCAGGATCCTTGATGCTCTTATGCACCACTCCCAATGTATTCAAAGAAGAAAACCATTGTTGAAACTCTCGCAGTGATGCTGATGCTGCTTTGTTGTGTGCCCTCTTGGACGCACGATAAGATTGTTCCTCCAGCTGTGCCAGCAGCTCGACGTTCAACTCAAGCAACCTCCGAAGATAGCTAAGACATAGATCCCAGCTGCCAGCCCCCGCAGGAAAGGCCGCTCCAGCCCCATCCAGAGGATGGTCTGCTAGGCGAACTCCTGCTGCCGCCAGCTGCGTCAGTTGAAGCTCTCCGTTCTGGCGTCTCCTGTGCCTGAGGGTCCTCTGCACCACGTTGTGCACTCGTGCCCACCAAGACGAGATGCCGTCCTTCAACGGCTGCTGACGAATGTGCTCTGCCTGCTTGACGACCGTGACCTTGAGGCTGCATCCTGCACTGCGCGATCGCGCGCACATGCCGAGGTCGTGATGTCCCAGGGCCGTCCGCTCGGCAGTCTCAACCCAGCGAGAGAACGCATTGCTAACGTGAAGAATGTGTGGGCCTCCAACTTCGAAAGCCACGGATTGAAATATAGGGGGGCCAAACTTCGTGAGTAGTGTGGGCGTGTCAGGGTGTCTGAGCCAACGCGTCTACCCACGATGAGGAAGGGATGGAGTAAGACGGGAGGGGAGCAGAAGACGCAGCAGCACCAGCTGGGGCGAGACTGCAACCATCCCCCTCCAGGGAGTCGATGTTCCTGGGACGCTCAGCTTGGTTGGCGGACTGACTTGTGCCCTCGACAACGCCTGACCCCGCCCCTCCAGGGAGACCTAACTCCATACCCACCCCCTGCGAGACAGTTTCAGCCCCAGCAGGAAAGAAACAAGATTCGTCGGCCCAAGGGTCTTCCTCCTCGGGGCCAAACTCAAAAAGATCAAAATCGGGGCAAACTGGTTCCTGGTCCTCGACCAGACCGTCAACGACCTCCGACGAAACCGCGGCGGAGGGATCGAGAGCACCAGTAGCCTGGATGGAGCGCGGTTCGCTATACAAGGCTTCACCGTACAAATCGTCACAGTCAGTGCGAATGCGCTCGCGTTTTTTCTCAACAACGAGCTGGTATTCGAGACGCTTAGCACTGGACTTGGAACCCGCAGCTGCTGCGGTGGACGGACGAACAACCTGAGGCAAACGCGCTGCAACTTCAAGAGTACGAGAGATGAGCTGCTCACCAGCCCCTCGCAACTTCACTTCAAGACCTATGTGTGGTGCCCATGGTGTGTCTACAACAGCACTAACGCTCATGATGTAAGGAACGCAACATTCTGAAGCCATGACAAAATCAATGTGCGAATTGCCTGAACCCCCTATGCAGGCATGCTCGACATTGGCCCTGCGGATGACTCCGCCTACACGCTTACAGAAATCACTGCGAGCAACAACATTCACGTCTATGTTATAATCACCTACCACCAACCATGGCAGCTTCACGGACCGAAGAAACGCACCAAGCTTCGAACATCTCTCAGCATTTTCACCCGCAAACTGTACTGACGGATGCGCATAGAACAGTACTATCAACAACGAGAATCCGCACATGTGCACTAGCGTCGGCATGAAGCCGTCGAGGGCGTCAGAGCCCTCAGCGCAGTAGCAGCTGCCCGTGTCTCGTGGCCGATCAAAAACCCGATGGGCATTCCTGTGCCCCTGTGCCAGGATGATCTCCCCGCCCTCGTTGGCGCGCCCCTCCGTCGCCGTCGAAGTCGATCTCCCCGTGTCACGTGCAGGATTGTCCAGGAACTTCAGCTTGTGAGCCCTTGCCCGACGTGCCCACTTCGCTCGAGTGCGCTTGCAGACGTGGCTCTCTACGATGCCAAGGAAAGAGTACCTGCTGAGGACCTCGTCCGACTTCAAATAAGCCCAAGCCTTCGGCCCCAAGCAGGTGACGCTACTGAAAAACATTGTGCAACTGGCCTCCTCCGAGCTGGTAGCCGTCGAAGGAGCTGCGCTCGGTGGAGCAGGCGGCTGGGTGGCGATCGCCTCCACGGGGCCGACCGCCGCCGCCCGACCTCGCTTGCCAGCGGCGCCCTGCGCCGCGCGCTCCCCGAGGGACTGCGCGGCGCGGATGCGAGCCATCTCCGCCTGGATGGCCTCCTCCGTGGGCTGCTGGCCTGGCGCGCCTCCCGCGGGCGCGGCGCCTGCTGCCGCAGCCGCCGCGGCCGTCGACCCAGAGGCCGTCGGCGCCGCAGGGCGGCTGGCCGCCTGCCCCTTCGGGTCCATGGGCGCATCTGCCACCAGCACCTCGGGGGCCTCTGCTCCAGCAGCCCCAGCGGCCGCCCCAGCGCCTGCACTGCCCGCTGCCGTGGCGGACACCTCCGCCGCCGTGTCGGTGTTCGTCGCCTTGCGCTTCTTGAGCTGCCTATCTTTTACCTTCTCCCGCATCGCCAGAACTTCTGCCCGCCATTTGCTGACCTGCTCCGCCTTGCCGACGACGGTGTCTCGAACCTGCTGCAGCTCCTTCTCCACGTTCCTCAGCTCCAGGCGCTCCTGCTCCGAGAGCTCCCCCATGGAGTCGAGCTGCTTGAAAAACTCTTCGTCCCAAGTGACGTTCATCATGGGTGGTGGGGCTGGTGCCTGGCCACAGCTGTCACTGGTCCCCGCACTCGTTGTAACCCCCATCTCGTGCGCCAGAGCCACCGCTGCCGTACGCTTGTTGATCTCGGCCAGCGCCAGCGCACGAGCCGACTCTTCCTCTTTGGCGAGCGCCTTCTTGAGGTTCTCCTGAATCTTGGCAACCTGTGAGGCCGCCTGAGCATGCTTCACCGATGCGTCCTTCCACGCCCCCTCCGCGCGGCGGACTGCCTCGGCCGCGGAGACAGCAACGGCAGCGGGCGTCGCCGCCGCCTTCTCGGCCTCCGCGATCTGGTCTGCCAAGATTTGCCTGCTGATGGGATCCTTGAGGCGCCCCATGGCCGCAACAAGCACCTGGATCGTGCCCGCGACGTCCTTCTCAGCACCCTTCGCCTTGTTCTGCAGATCTGGCTGCTGTTGTGGGCCTGCACCGCTCTTGGGCTTCGGCACGTACAGCCTGACCGGTTTGTAGCACTTGTAGCACTTCCCTGAGTTTTTCTGAATCTTGTCGTTGAACTCCTGAGTGTCACATGACGCGCATGTGCTCCACGCTCTGGACATTGCCTGCTGCGCGCCGCACACGAGCGTCGCCTCGCTTTCGCCAGCCCAACTGTCCGCCCAAGGACGAGCGGCAAGTGGGCTGCCCCCCAAGCACCACGTGGAGGCGCGAGGCTTGGGCTGCGAGCTGCCAAAATGGTGCTCGGGCCCAAGTTGCTTGAGGTGATGATGCGGAGGAGGAGGAGGAGGAGGAGGAGGAGGAGGAGGAGGAGGAGGAGGAGGAGGAGGAGGAGGAGGAGGAATACAATCATATTAGTATAATGGCATGGATGGAAAGAGGGGAGGAGGAGGAGGAGGAAGAGAGAGGCGAGGGAGGAGGAGGAGGAGGAGGAGGAGGAGGAGGAGGAGGAGGAGGAGGAGGAGGAGGAGGGGAGGAATACAATCATATTAGTATAATGGCATGGATGGAAAGAGGGGAAGGAGGAGGAGGAGGAAGAAGAGGAGGCGAGGGAGGAGGAGGAGGAGGAGGAGGAGGAGGAGGAGGAGGGGGAGGAGGAGGAGGACAGGTGACCTTTCAAAGTTTTGCTGCCGCCCTAGGCCTGATCCCCGGAGATCCGAGGGGGGTCCCTGGAGGTCCCCGGGTGCCTTTGGGGGCCTCTGGAGGCCCGCCAGGGGCCATACACGTCCGAGGGCCTCCCCCATGGACCCTCGAGGGCGGAGGCCAGAGCTCGGCGAGGGCAGGAGCCCCCCGAGATGGGGCGGGCGGACAAGATGCTGGACGAGCTCCAGAGGAGCCTGGGCACGGCGCAGGCCCTCCCGGCAAGCGGGGGGGGGGGGAGGCGCGCGGGCTCGGCCCGAGAGGCGCAGGCGTGGGAGGGGGCAGGAGGCAGGAGGGGAGGTTTGGCAGGAGGATGGAGGAGGAGTGAGGGGGCAGGAAGAGACAGGATGTAGAAGGCAGGGGGAGGACGCGAGCTGGAGGGGGGTGGGGGCGCAGGAGGAGGATGAGGAGGACGAGGAGGAGGAGGGAGGAAGGAGGAGGAGGAGGAGGAGGAGGAAAAGGAGGAGGAAGAGGAGGAGGAGGAGGAAGAGAGGGGACGAGGGAAAGGAGCCTCCTTGAAGGACGGGCGCTCCTCCTCCGCTCCTCCTCCTCTCCTCCTCCTCCTCCTCTTCCTCCTCCTCCTCCTCCTCCTCCTCCTCCTCCTCCTCCTCCTCCTCTCCTTCTTCCTTGACAGTTTTGAGGCATCTGGGATGCTGTATTGGGGCCGTTTTGGCTCCTTTGGGCCTGTTGGGGCCTCGCGGGGGCCTCTTAGGGTCTCCTCGCCCCCTGGGTGCCTCTTGCGGCGGAAGGCTTCGATGTTATGTTCGTGTTCTCCCTCCTGAGACCCTCTTGGGGCCGTCTTGGGGCCCTCTGGGGCCGTCGCTGGCGCCTCTTGGGGCCCTCTTGGGGCCTCTTAGGGTCCTCTGGAGCCTTCTTGGGGCGGTCAGGGGGGCCTTGAGCTGTCTCGGAGCGTCGGAACCCCAATGACAATACATGGTTTTGGCTTATCGGGGGCCTCTAGGGAAGGCTCTTTGAGCCCTTTGGGGCGTCTCGAAGGCTTCTTGGGCCATGTTGGAGCTTCCTTGAGCGTCTTGGACCGATTGTATAGCGATTCGGGGCACCCTTGGACCGTCTGAGCTGCCTCTTGGGGCTCTCTCAGGCCGTCTTGGGGCCCTCTTGGCCCCGGACAAGTCATGCGACATGATGCGGGCGAGCCCAGAGGGCACGCAGAAAGCCCCAAGAGGTTTGTGAGTTTGGGGTCCGGGCCCCTGAGCGGATCCTCAGAATTGAGGAGGCGCAGGTATTTTGGTCAAGGACCTGAGGGTACTCCAACTCGTGCCTCAAGGGCACGGTGGCGGATAATCAACAAGTGAATTATCTAGTGGTCTTGGCCCCATGCAGCCACCCTGCCTGTGTTGTGGGTCAGGGTTCTCATGGATGCGTCTTCGGGTCTCTTCGGGCCGCTCCCGGGGGCCTCTTGAGAGCAGTTTTGGTGCCTCGTGGGAGCCTCTTAGGGGCCTCTTGGGGGCCTCTTGGGGCCTCTTGGGGGCCCCTTGGAGGCCTCTTGAGGCCTCCTGGGGGGGCCCTCGTGGCCGAGGGCTCGAAATGTCCATTCGGGTTTCCCATCTGGGCCCCCTCTCGGAGCCGTCTTTGGGCCCTCTTGGGCCGTCTTGGGCGCCTCTTGGGCCGTCTTGGGGCCCATGGGCCCTCTTGGGGCCCTCTTGGGGCCCTCTTGGGGGCCTCTGGGGCCGTGGGCCGTCCTGGAGCGTCGGAAAGCCGAAAAGGCGAGAAGGCCCAACAACCTAAAACAACTTTAAGGACATCAATGAGTTTTGACCCCTTGGGGCTTTATTGAGACGCCTCTCGGAACAATCTTGGAACGTCTTCGGGGCCTCTTGGGAGTGTTGAGGCCATCTTGGGCGTATTGGGACACTCTTTGGTTTTTGTCGGAGGCATCTTCGGCCCTCTTGGGCGCTTTTCGGGCTTCTGTTTGGCTGGCTGCGCTACCAGAGGACGCGCGCGACACGCCCAGATAATTCCGAGGAGTACTCGGAAATCACCGGGAATCTCCGGAAACTCTTCGGAATTTCCAGAAATCTTTCTGGAACCAGTGGCCTGGGCCCCTACACCCATCAGAAGTCTCAAGAAGAAAAGGATATTTCACGGACGCCAGCTTTCGTCCAAGACAACCAAGCATCTGGACTGTGCCTTGTGCGTTCTCTCGGAGCTCCGTAATTCCGTAGTCTACGGAATTACGGAGTCGGACTGCTGCTTAAGACAACGCTTTAAGGGAAGTCAAACTTCTTAGCTTGAAGTTTCCGTACCTCTGATCAGGGGTGTCAAACCTTTTAAAACCCTACAGTTCTGAACCTCTGAGGGCTGCATGGGCCTTGGGGCACTCCACCACGTGCTGCAGGCACGGTGGTGGATACGCATCTAGCAGACAGCGTGAGAAATGGTATGGATGTGAGGAGTGTCGCGGCAACCCAACCCAGGCGGAGAAGAACGCCCGCAACTCCATCGAGAGGCGAGCTCCGCGCCCCCCTTGTCCTCCTGAGCCCGGCTTTGTCGCAGTTGTTGCTTCCGTACCAGCTCGAGAACGACGTCTGGCAAATCAGTCGAAAGTTGTGCCAAACGAACGATGCTCGTTTGTTCGAGAGTCTGCGCGTCCGTGCACCTGTGTTTCCTCGGAGCGCTTCAGCGTCGATTATTGGACTATGTGGGGGGACAACATGGGAGAGAGAGGAGTGGCATTGATCACAAGGGAGTTTGGCAAGCGTCGCCTGTCGCCTTGCTCCTGCAGACGCCCTCATGATTGTCCTCAGCAGACGTATGTTTATTAGATTGCCGTGGAGACGCCCACTCTCGACTATGATCCTCGCAATTGGTGATTGACATGGTGATGTGTCAGAACGCGCCCCAGGGGAGGACCGGGGAGTCGCGGTAGCGACACTGTGGTGCCCCCAAACGTACCGATCCCTTCTGTGCAAGCGTTGGTCGGGAAAGCGGAACGCCAAGTGCCCAGACCTCCGACGACTCGATCTTTTCGTATCGCCCCACCCCAGTGGGCTCGACCCTCTTCCTGGGCAGCAGTTTTTCCTCCCGAGTCGTTTCTCGACGAGCGCTGGGGCTTGGCGATGGCCCCCGAAAGCCGACAATGGCGAACAACTTGCGCTGCGCGAGTTTTTGGCAGTCGCGGGAGGTTCAGGGATGGGTCGGTGAGCTGGGATTTGTTGGGTGACGGGGGGGGGCGTGCAAACTGCCGGCGGGGCTGTCGCTTTCGGGTGCCCCACCAGGCTGAACGCCAACCACAATCTCTCTGGGCTGCTGCTGCCTGGCACGCCCTTCTCCAGCGCGCTCTACGACGATATCACCGAGTCGTCCCAGGCGGCCATCAAGTGGGACCCGCTGCAGCGGCCCAAGCCGAACGAGCAGGCAGACATCAGCAAGGCCTCGAGGGAGAGGGACATCGGGGCCTCGCCCTACGCGCCCAAGGGGCCGCCACCGCCAACGTCTGTAACTGACCGGCTGAACCCGTCCCAAAAGGAGGCCGCCAGGTACGTCCTCGAGCTCCGGAGGCGCTTCAGCCTGATCCAGGGCCCCCCCGGAACCGGCAAGACGACGACCGCGGTGGCCACGATCTGTGGCTGGCTCCGCTCGCGCCGAGGGCCCGTGCTTGCGACCGCTTTCAGCAACCGCGGCGTCGACAACATGGCGGAGGCGTTGCACAAGCTGGGCGTGAGGGTGCTGCGCGTGGGCCTCTGCCGCGCGGAGAAGCCCTACTCGCTGGAGACCCGCCTGGCGGAGTGCGGCGAGCGCCGCGGCAACAAGGGCATGGCCGCGGTCCTCACGGGGGGGAGGACGCCTGGACCCCCATCGAGTCATTAAAAGAGCACGACGGACGTTTTCGATGGATTTCAGGCTCCTGGGGAGCTTGCCGGGCCTCGGGGCCGTCAAACACCGACTCAGGATGGACAGCTGGTCCCTTGGAAGGGGGCGAGACCTCTGTCAGGAGAGGCCGAGTCCATACGGAGTAGGTCCGTACGGAGTGCTCGGTCTCCGTCTGGGCTTACTCCGTCTGGACTCAGCCTCTCCTGACTGCGGGGGTCCACGTCCTGAAACAATCCTGATGGCTGTGGTCTGGGAAACATGCCGCTACCCTTCCCTCGTCTCTATGGCTGGCTTGACCCCGAAGTCCTTGTCAGAGCGCACCCCTGGATAGTTCAGGTGAGTGGCGTTGTCGTTGTCTTTTTGCCTCGCCAGGTCCTGTCCCGCATGGACGTCGTGGCGGCCACCTGCATCGGCGTCGGCCCCCAGGGCCAGAAATCAGTGCAAGTCAGTGTCAACGTTGGGGGGATAGGCCCAGTTTGGGGGGGAATGCGTCGACCCCCACTCGCTCATTCGTCGCCGATAAGGGGAGGAGGAGGAGGAGGATGAGGAGGGGGAGGAGGAGGACGAGGACGAGGAACACGAGGAGGACGAGGACGAAGACGAGGAGCAAGAGAAGAACGAGAAGGAGGAGGAGGAGGACGAGGGTGAGGGTGAGGTGGCCCGATAACCCATCCCGCCCAGAAGCATGCGGCTTCGCTGTCGGGTGCCCATCGCCGATCCGTTGGCGATGCATCGCCGATTCCAGGTCGATGCTCTCCCCCTGGGGCCTCCCCCCCTGTCGTTGCCCCTCAGCAAGCACAAGCAGCCCCCCGCCCTGGAAGCGAAGGAGGGGGCCTGGAAGAGCTAGGTGCGCTCGCGTCATATCTGACGTCCTACCCCTCCCTCCCATCCCTTACCACGGCGCTGATTTTCTCTATCCGCGGACGCGTGTCGTAGCGGACCGGGGCCTGGAAGAGCCGACTCCTGAAGTCACCCGCTCCCAGAGGGCTGCTGGGACTGCGGATGCCCGCTGACGGCAGGCTTCCGCCGGAGCCGGGCCCTCTCCCCGACAGGCTGCACGTCAGAGTGGCATGGCTTGGGCCTCATCGTCGTCGTCGTCGTCGTTGTCGCTACGGCGGGCCCACGCAGCAGCCCCTCGCGCGCGTTGTCGTCGTTGTTGTTGCTGTTGTTGTCGTTGTCGACGACGACCGCGGCGGACCGTCGACCGAGAGCCAATCCACGTTCCCCCTCGCCCGAGGGACCTTTGGTGCACGGCTCTCGGGGGCCAAGCCCAAGCATGCGGGCCGCCAGTGACGCATCGCACGCAGCGATCGGCAAGCTGCGCAGCAAACCCCGAGAGCCGGCGTTGCGAAAGATGGCAACACCGTGAGACATCAGGACCGGGTCACTAGACCACACTTGTCTGTTCCATTTTCGCGTCGGATGGATCCATGACAGTCCTGGGACCCGAAAACGGGCGAAAACGCTCGGTGTGAGAAGATTGCAACGCTTGGATTTGAAGGACGGTCACTGTCGCGGCCGCTCCTGCGTGTGCAGTGCCGGACAGTATAGCGGCGCCCGCAGGGCCATCCTCGCGCGCTGGGGAGGGGTGTATACGGCGTCAGGAGGCCTGACGCCTGCGCAAGGCTGCTGGCCCCGCGGACGGGCGGTGTCGCTAGCTCACCAGCCTGGGTCATATCCCTACCCCAATTCAATGATTGGCATCACACGGTCTCGATGCCAATCCTGAGGATCCCCTCAGTTTCTAAGGGCGCACCCCTAAGACTGTCATCGCCTTCGGGCTTGTAAATCTCGGGGATAGGGATAAGTTCGAGGCTGGTTAGGAGCTGATGTCTGCGCGGCTTGCTGCCCCCCCGCAGGCATGGGACCCCTGGACAAACACGTCTTTCCCTACGTGGTGGTTGACGAGGCTCGGCGGCGCTCGCAGAGAAGGAGGGCGTGGCGAGGGGGGGCGGCCGTACAGTACCCTGCCTCTCAGAGAGACCCGCCCGTCCCTCTGCCTGGAGGCGCCAGCCGTGCCTCCGCACCGATCCCGGGCCCACGCTGATCATGCCCGGGTGGGCATGGCCAGGATGGCTGGCGCTTGCTATTCCGGGAGAGGCCCTCCCGGAGGCCTGATCTGAGGAGGGGCGGGTCCGTTCCTAAGTAGCCCCTTGTCTTCTCAGAGGGCTGCCCCACTCTCCACCCTCCCTCCCAGCTCGCCCTCCCAGTCCCCCTCAAAGCCGGCTCCCAAACCTCTCCTACCTGGAGGGCTGGCTGACCAGGCTTGCGAGGTAGATCCAGCGAGGAGGCTCCCCCCAAAACCCAGCAGCAGGGGGGTGAGAATAAGGCGGAGGAGGAGGCGGAGGAGGAGGAGGAGGAGGAGGAGGAGGAGGAAGAGGAGGAGGAGGAGGAGGAGGAGGAGGAGGAGGAGGAGGAGGAGGAGGAGGAGGAGGAGGAGGTGGAGGTGGAGGAGGAACTGGAGGAACTGGAGGAACTGGAGGCCACGGCGCCGGGGCTCCTCCCCTTTGCGAACCTTTGTTGCCGGCGCCGTTTTCAGTATTACTTTTGGGACTCGGGCGGGACCTGCCACCGCCTGGGCTCCGCGGGCGGCGTTGACCAGGGGAACCCGCTGGCGCCCTTGCTCTTCGCCTGCGGCCTCCGCTCCCCCCTGCAGGCGCTCGAGGGCGCGCTGAAGGCGCGGGCGGCAGACTGCGGCCTGCGGGCAGACGACGTCCGCGTGCTGGCCTACCTGGACGACGTGGTCGTCCTCGTCCCGCCGCCCTGGCTGGCGAGGTCGAGACGGCCGCGGAGACGACGTTGTGGCGCCTGGGGCTGGAGCTGCAGCAGCGAAAGACGCAGATTTGGTCCTCCCGCGCGGCCTGCCCTGCCCGCCTGGCGCTGGCGCGCAGACGGCATTACGCTGCTGGGCGCCCTGCTTGGCGAGTCGCTTTCACAGGGTGGCATGTCCGACGAGAGAGACGCGCGCCGGCTCGACCTAGGCGGCACAGGCTTCGCGGCCGCGCGCAGCGCGGAGACTGCGGAGAGGGCGGCGGCGCTGCTCCGGAGGCTCGCTGAGCTGCCCGCGCTGGCCTCGCCGCGCCTGCCGTTGCCGCAGGCGGCAGCGCTCCTGCTGCGGCTGCGCGGCACGGGCAAGCTCACCCACCAGCTGCGCACCTGCCGGCTGGCAGACGCCTGGGCCGCCGCCGCCACTTTTGACGACGCCCCGGGAGCTCGTGCGCCTCGACCCCCTGGGGCAGTAGCAGCAGCCGCTTGCCGTTGCGGCGGGGCGGCCAGGGCCTCCGGAGCCAGGCCGCGCTGTCGCCGGCTGCCTGGGCGGCTTCCTGGGCGCAGAACCTGGCGGGGGTGCGGGCCCGGACATGCTTGGCGGGGCTGGCTGACCTGGATACTTGCGGCCTATAGCGGCCGCCTGCCGGGAGGCGCTGGCAGAGCTGTCGTCGGAGGAGGGGGAAAGGGCCCGGCTGCTGCCGCCCTGGAGGCAGCTGGCGGCCGAACCTCAGCAACGAACTCAGCGACTGCTCACGCAAAGGCTTGACGACAAAAACGCTGCCATGCCTTGCGGAGCACCCTGGGAGCTGAGGAGTGGGCACTGCTGCGCTCTTGCGGAGGGGCGGGCTGGCAGCTTGTTAACGGCGGGCCGCGCCAGCGGCTCGAGGGCGCCGTCTACTACGCCACGGCGCGAGCCCTGCTGGGCCAAGACACCGCGCCCGCCGGGAACCGCTGCGGCAACCGCCTGCGAACTGGCGCGAGGGCGGGGCAGGCCTGCGGAGAGCCGCTCTACAGCAAGGCGCGCCACGCTTACAGGTGCGTCTGCGGGGGCAGCACCAAGGCCCAGAGCCGCGACCTGGAGGACGCCTGGGAGCACATCCGCCAGGAGTGTGGCTTCCGGACAGAGCGGCAGGTGCCAGTGCCCGCCTGGGACAAGTGGCGCTGGCGCTGCTCCTCCGCGGCCTGCACGGCGCGCGGCGCCGTCGACGCCCCGCCGCATGGGCCGTGCGCGGCCTGCGGAGCGGCGCATGCGGCGGAGCGGGAGGACACGCTCCTGGACCTGGAGGCGCAGCGAGGGGAATGCCCCCGCCTCCTCGCTGACGTTACGGTCCGCTACAGCGTCCCGGGCGACGCGCGGGTCCTGGCCGCAGCCGCCGACGGAGACGGCGCGGTGAACGCCGCCGCGGAGGTCGACGCGCGGCGCCGCTACCCGGGGCACCGTGCGCCCTGGCCGCTGCTGCCGCTGGCGCACGAGACCGCCGGCCGCCTCGGTCAGGTGGCGCTGCGGCACCTGCCTGGCTCGCGCACGACCAGGCGCAGAACTTAGGCGACGGCCCGGAAGCGGCGGCCGCGGCCAGCGCCCTGTCGCGGCGCTGGGGCGCCGAGCTCAGCGTGGCGCTTCACCGCGCCGTCGCTCGGAAACACCCCGCGGCCGTGCGCGGTGAGGAGGCCCCAGCGACCGCCGCCCGACTGGCGGCGGAGCTGGCCGGCTGAGCGCCTGCGCAGGCGCGGGGGCGCGGCGGCCCAGGTCGTCACGATCGCCCTCATCATCGCCGCGGTGCTCCTGGAGCACAGGGTGGGTGGCGCGTGCGCGCGGCGGGGAACAGTCCGCTTCCGCCGCGCCAGGAGGAGGAGGAGGAGGAGGAGGAGGAGGAGGAGGAGGAGAGGAGGAGGAGGAGGAGGGAGGAGGAGGAGGAGGAGGGAGGAGGAGGAGGAGGAGGAGGGGGAGGAGGAGGAGGAGGAGGAGGAGGAGGAGGAGGAGGAGGGAGGAGGAGGGAGGAGGAGGAGGAGGAGGAGGAGGGGAGGGAGGAGGAGGAGGAGGAGGAGGAGGAGGGAGGAGGAGGAGGAGGAGGAGGAGGAGGAGGAGGAGGAGGAGCATCATATCGGACACTGAGAGCAAGACCTGAGCTGTCCAGCAGAGGGTCGGGGACTGGACACCCTGCACCGCCGGCGCGGGGCCCCCACCCGCCCCGCCAGACAACCTAAGCCTGATGAGCAGCCGCCCCAGCGGCTCGACATCCCACCACTGTTCTGCGTCTATACTTCGGATGTACAGGCCGCGATTCACCTGCTCTCGCGGGAGCCGCAGGGGCAGCGATACCAGAAACGTCACAGCTTCATTGACAAGTGAGAACACTTGAGTTGACGCAGTTCACCTGCGCAGGCCTTGGTTCACCTGCTTGCGCCGGGGCCGCGGGGGCAGCAGGAAGAACGCAAGCGCAATCCGCTCCCTCAGCCCTTCTTCCTAGACCCAGCGTGAAGGCCGACCATCCCAATCTGGCGACGTCGAGTTTCCCGCTCGCAGCTGTCAGCTCAGGGCAAGGACTTGTAGCGTTCCTCCAGATTGGCTCCTGGCGCCTCCCCATCCTCCTTCTTTCCTTGTGGGGGGTATTCTTGAGAGGCTCTTGTCTTGCACAAGCGCGAACAGCAGCATGCGGGAAATCAGCTAAAAAGCCGACAAGGGTTCCTCCTCCTCCTCGTCCTCCTCCTCCTCCTCCTCCTCCTCCTCCTCCTCCTCTCCTTTTCCTCTTCCTCCTCCTTCTCCTCCCGCTTTTCCTCCTCCTCCTCCTCTTCCCTCCTCCTCCTCCTCCTCCTCCTCCTCCTCTTCCTCTCCCCTCCTCCTCCTCCTCCTCCTCCTCCTCCTCCTCCTCCTCCTCCCCCTCCTCCTCCTCCTCCTCTTCTCCTCCTCCTCAAGGGGCCCCTCCTCCTCGTCGTCCTCATCATCGGTCGAATCGGCCGATGTGGACTCATCAAGTTTTTCTGAAGGCTCAAGTTATCCTGGAAAAGCTCTGGTCGTGCATGGGCACGGACACCGACATCATGCGGCTCCGCGGCAAGTCAGGTCGTCAAAGCCCTTGCATCCTCCTCCTCCTCCTCCTCGTCCTCGGCGTCGCACGAGTCGTCGGTTAGAGGTTCATCAAGTTCCTTCGTCAGCTGAGTCTTCCAGTACGTCGGGCTCTGAACACTCTCATTCGCCCTCGGTCTTCCAGTGCGATCGATTGCTCGTCCACTACGGGGCCGTCGGAGCCGACCGGCATTTGGGGCACAGCCTCCGTGTCCAACAGCGGCGCGTGCCTCGCCCGGTTGCTGTCCGTGCAGGCTGCTGCTGCTGCTGCTAGCGCCTGGAGCTCGGGCGTGCTTGCCCCACGAGCTCCGCAGCTGCGAGGGCCTCCCACAGCATGGGGGCGGGGTCGCCAACCGCACCGCTCGAGCCCCGAGGGGCTGGCACTCCCGTACGAAGGAGAGCCGTGCGGCTCTGCAGCGCCTGCGCCCGTGGTGCGTGCTCCCCGTCCCTGACATCGCTACTATTCGGCGTCACCCCAACATGCTAATACTCTGTATGCGTCGCCCTCCCCCCCCCAGGGGGCGACGCGCGCACCGAGAACTCTTGTAGCATATGCGTCGTGGCGGGCGCTTTCTGGCCACGCCGCTCTGGAAACGATATACCACAAGATGGGTATACTTGATGTTCGGGTCGGACGCGCGCCTCCAAGGAGAACATAAAGTACTAGTATTCTTCTGTGCGCCCCAACTATGACTTTTCAATGTGCGGCCCCAGAGGTCACGACCGCTTCCTCAGGGACAGTCATTCGTCCCAGATCGATGCTGTACGGTCTTGAGACCCGACAACGTTCCACGAGGGCCGAAATCTAGGAACAGCGCTGGGATTGCAAAGATCAGGGTTTCTGAGATCTGGGTTCACGACGGCGTCTGCGGGCGTGTCCGCGCACTCGCAGCAGCCCAGCGGCGACGGCCATTCCTCCTGACGACGTCGGCATCCGCGCCATCGCGGCATCTTGCGCCCCTGCGCCTGAAGTGGGCGTGCTGGCGAGGGCCTCCCGAAGCGCGGCTCCCTGGAGAGGAGGGGGAGGAGGAGGAGGAGGAGGAGGAGGAGGAGGAGGAGGAGGAGGAGGAGAAGGAGGAGGAAAAGGAGGAGGAGGAGGAAGGGGGGGAGGAGGAGGAGAAGGAGAAGTGGGAGGGGAAGGTGGAGGAGGATGAGGGAGGGGGAGTCTGAGGAGGGAGCAGGGAGAGGGATAATAGGGAGGAGGGAGAAGGGGGAGGGAGGAGTAGAAGGAGCCCTCCCCGCTCGAGGCGGCGCAGGTCATCGAGCCCGCGGTCATCTTGCCTCTCGGCAAGGGCGCGGTGCAGGCGGCTCGTGGGCGGGAAACACATCCATGGCCGCGACCGCGCAGATGTCCCATGGAACCGCGCCTTGGCGCAGTCAGACAGGCTCATGAGGGCAGCCAAGACGCTAAAATAAGGACCACTCTGGGCTCAGTAGAGACGTTGGATCCCTGGCCGTTCCTGATACCTTGGTCGGAGTACTTGTTCGCGGCCGAGACTTGCCGTGGCCAGAAAACCGCCGTCGCTCCTTATGTGGCGTGCTTCCCCATATCCTAAGATAGAGTTCTCGCTATTCCCCATCTTCGATTTTCCTTTGCCGTTCAGACTCAACGACGCCAATTCCTCAATCAGACTCACTCATGCTCAGAATCAGTTATGCACACAGGCTGTGAGGGTGTCTCCAACGATGCGTTGGTTTGAGCACCCCATCGGGGAGCCGCCAGGCGGTTTTGCACGGGCCCGTTCGCGCCCAGATTGTGGGAATATCAGGCGGTTTGTGTGTTTGGGTGTTCAACATCCTGTGCTTTCAGAGCATATTGGGAGGATGTCTCAGGCGAGGCGCTGGTTTCAGCATCCCGAGGGGGGAGCCGTCAAGGGGTATTGCACGGGCCTGTTCGCGCCCAGATTGCGGGGATTTTAAATGTTTTTTGCGTGTTCGGGTGCTCAGCATCCTGTGCTTTCATAGCAAAATGTGAGGATGTCTCAGGCGAGGCGCTGGTTTCAGCCTTCCAAGGGGCAGCCGCCAGGGTGTATTACACGGGCCTGTTCGGGCCCAAATCGTGAGGATGTTTGAGGCGTTTTGCTTTCTTGGGTGTTCAACATCCTTTGTTTTCAGAGCAGATCGTGAGGATGTCTCAAACGAGACGCTGGCTTCAGCACTCTAAGGGGGACCGCCAGGGAGTATTGCATGGGCCCGTGCGTGCCCAGGTGGTGGGGATGTCTCGGGCAGTTTGCTTGCTTGAGTGCTCAACTTACTGTGGCTTCAGAGCAGATTGTAAGGATCTCTCAGTCGAGGCGCGGGATTGAGCATTGGTTTTAGCATCCCAAGGGGCAGCCGCCAGGGGGTATTTCACGGGCTCGTTCGCTCCCAGGCTGCTGGGATACCTCAGGCGGTTTGCCCGTTTCGCCCCTGTGTTACCTAAACGCCTCCAGACCCCACTCACTCACTCACCTGCCCCCTCTTCTTCCACACTCAGACGCGTGCACACTCGGATTTACTCATCAGCACCCCTTCGCCACCCAGACTCGCTCACCACATTCTGGCTCAACCAAATATGCTCAGACTCATTCATACCCAGATACGCTTGTGCTTACACCCGCTCACAAACATATTCGCTCACACTGGCCCACTCACATTCAGACGACTTCACACTCGGACTGCCTCACATCCAGATTCACCCACCTTCAGACTCACTTATGCTCAAACTCACTCGTACACAAAGCACTTATACTATACGCATACTCATCGCATTCATACTCAGACTCACTCACACCCAGCCTTAATCACACTCATACCCACTCGTGCCCGTACTCAGACACGCTCAGACTCAGACTCATACTCATCAACCCATTCCCAGGCCCATGCACAGTCAGACTTACCCACACTCAGACTCTCTCGCAGTCAGACTCACTCATACTCACATTTACGCAAACTCAAACCGACTCGTACTCAGACCATCTCATAAGGGCCGCCCACATTTACTCTCAACCATACCCGGGTTCATTGGTACTCTGACTCACTCACACCATTCAGAGTAGTCACGCTCAGATTCACCCAGTATTCTCTCTGCTAATGGTCCATTGTTCCCTCGCTATTGCACTTCGGCTTCCCTCATCTCTCTTTACATTTGCCCAGGGGAGGAGGACGTCACTGAAGTCGTCGCTGTCGCCGTCGTCGTTGTCGAGCCCATCGTCCACGCTGACTCGCTCTCACACCCAGATGCTCACAGACAGAGTTCCTCAACAAAACGTGACAGGAATATGAGATGCACATCTGGGGGTCTCCCTGTCGAGTATGCGCCTCCACACCTTGCTCCTCCGTATCCTGTTTTCCCCCTCCCTCACTCGTACACTCCGATACTCATGCTCACATCAGCCTGTTTTCTCCTTCACCCACATCACATTTAGATCCTCTCGTACTCCAACCCGCCGATACTCAGGCTAGCTCGTGCTCATACTCACTCATACTTAGCCTCATTTTTTTTGCAGGTTCATTCTTCCTCGCTCAGACTCACTCATGTTCAGAATCACTCACGCACACAGATTGTGAGGATGTCACATGCGAGGCGCTGTACTCAGGAACCCAAGGGGGGGCGCTAGGCCGGTCTTTTAAGGGCCCATCGTGGCCTAGATTGTGGGGCTGTCTCACGGGGCTTGCATGATTGCATGCGCCGCAGGTTCTGCTGTCGGAGCCGGTTAGTGAGGATGTCTCAGGCGCGGTTGTGTTCCCAGCAACCAGCGAGGGAGCCGCTGGGTTTTTTTCCACGGGCCCACTCGCGCCCAATATGTGGGCATGTCTCAGGCGCATGCCCAGCATCCTCTGATGCCGGAGCAGATTGTGAGGAACCCAAGGGGGTTTCGCCAGGAGGTACTTCACGGGCCCGTTCGCGCTCAGATTGTGGAGTTGTTCGCGGCGGTTCGCCTGTTGGCGTGCCCAACAATTTCTGCTTTTGTGTCAGGCGTGGCGCTGGCTTCATCAACCCAAGATGGAGCCGCCAGGAGGTATTTCACAGGTTCGTTCGCGCCAGAATTATGGGGATGTCTCACGGGGCTTTCCTGTTTGCATGCGCAACATCTTCTGTTTTCGGGGCAGGTCAGTGAGGATGTCTCAGGCGCGGCGCTGGTTCCAGCAACCAGCGAGGGAACGAACCGCTGGGGGGTATTTCACGGGCCCATTCACGCCCAACTTGTGGTCATGTCTCAGGCGTTTGCATGCCCAGCATCCTCTGCAGTCGGAGCAGATTGTGAGGAACCCCACGGGGAACCGCCAGAGAGTTCCTCACGGGCCCGTTCGCGCCCAGATTGTGGAGTTGTTTGCGGCGGTTCGCCTGTTGGCGTGCCCAGCATTTTTTGCTGTTGTATCAGGCGTGGCGCTGGCTTCAACAATCCAATGTGGAACCGCTAGGAGGTATTGTAGTGGCCTCCGGCCAGTGCCGCCGATCCGGGACGCTTCCGCTGCTGCAGGAAGCGCACGATGGTGGTCATGACCGGCGACGACGGCGAGCGGTGAGGTTGATGATGGGGATTGGGAATGGAGGCAACGGAGTAGGATGATGAGGAGGAGGATCATGATGAGGTGGATGGGGGTGGAGGCGGGAGGGGCAGGAGTAGCAGGATGCTGAGGATGAGGAGGAGCAGGAGGAAACGGGAAGTGGAAGAGGGGGAGGGGGAAAAAAAGGAACATGACGAGGATGAGATTTTCGGTGGTTGTTGGAGATGTTCGGCGGTTGTTGGAAAGCCTCTTTGGGGCCAGGTGTTGGCCCTCTTTGGTTGACATGTCGCAGATTTGGCTCACTCTGAAAAGCTTAATGCTAGAGCTGTCTGCGTCACAGGTATGTGTGGAGGTTTGTGCATCACCGGTCTCTGCTGGGAGCCACAGTGTTTTTGGAGTCTCTGGGGCCTTCGCGCGGTCTTCTGCGGGCCCGTGTGAGACCATGGATGTGGAGGACACCGAAAACGGGAGAAGGCGTGAAAGCGTGGAAGAACCTTTTGCATTGCAGCGCTTGTGTTCAGACGTAAACGTTGTGGAAGCATTAGGGCCGGTTTTGGGTTTCTCGGGGGGGAGTCTTGGAGGCAGTTTGGAGGCCTTTAGACGGCGTCTTGGATGTATCTATTGAAATTCTTGGGAGCCTTTAGGGGGCTTCAGGGGGCCTCTTCGGGGCCGGTTGGAAGCGTCCCGGGGCCTCTTCAGGCCTCTCGGGGGCCTCTGGGGGCCTGCTTGGGGATTCCTGGGCCGTTTTCGGTATTTCTTCCGCCGTCTTGGCGCCCTCTCAGGCGCCTCTTGGGCCCGTCCTGGGGCCCTCTTGGGCCTTTCCGGGGGCCTCCTGGGCCATCTTGGGTTCTTCTTGGGCCGTCTTGGAGCCCTCTTGGCGGCTTCTTGGGCCGTTCCGGGGTTCTCTTGGGGCGTCTGCGACGCTCTGAAGGCCCAAGGGGCGAGTATGCTAAAATTGCATGTCTTCCTTAAGGAGATGGGGCATGTGTTGCTTCTTTGGGCCTTTTTTGGGGGGCGTTTTTTCAAAGCTTCTGAATGCATATTGGAGGCTTCTTGGGCCGTCTTGGGGACATCTTGAGCGTTTTGTAGCGATCGTTCGGCGATTCGGGGCCCTGTTGGCCCATGTTGGGGCCCTCCTGGGCGAGGGGGCCGTCCCGGAGTGAGCAGGAGCTCCGATTCCGCCCCGGGAATGAAATCGAAACGCGCCCCCTCCCCCTCCTACTCCGGCAGAGCCACCCTGGCACCCACCCTCCATTAGAGACGAAACTCAGGAATTGACGCTCAGGCTGTTCTGAGGGTCTTTGAAACTCACACGCCGGATCGGCGGATTTCACAGGCCCGTTCGCGCCAGAATTCGGGGGATGTCTCTGGCGGTTTGCCTGTTTGCGTGCCCGGCGTTTTCTGCGTTGGTCCCAGGCCTGGGCGCTGGCTTCAGCAATCCAAGGGGGAACCGCCAGGGGGTATTTCACGGGCCCGTTCGCATTTACATTGTGAGGATGTCTCAGGCTGTTCGCCTGTTTCAGCGCCCCCGATTTCATTGTTGTCAGAGCATAAAGTGAGGACGTCTCAGGCGATGCGCTGGCTTCCCCTGGGCCCGTTCGCGCCCTGATTGTGGGGATGTCTCAGACGTTTGTTCATTTCGGCGCTTCGATGATGCTGTCAGTGCAGATTGTGAAGATGTCTCGAGCGAGGCGTCGGGCTCAACATTCCAAAGGGAAGCCGCCAGGGGGTATTTCACGAGACCGTTCGCGCCCAGATCGTGGGGATATCTCAGGCGGTCTTCCTGTTTCGCCCCCCCCCAAGCCAGACGCCTCCAGACCTCACTCACTCACTCACTCACTCACTCACTCACTCACTCACCTCTACGCGCAGACGTATTCGCCTTCAGACTTACTCAGACGTACATCTTCTTTACTCATACACACTCATCACACTCAGATTCAACCGTGTTCAGATTCATTCATACCCAGACACGCTCATACCAATACTCACTCACACTCAGACTCGCTCGCGCTCAAGATCGCTAACATTCAGACGAGTTCACACCCGGACTGCCTCACACCCAGATTCGCCCACCCTCAGATGCATTCGCACCTGAACCCCATCGTACCCAGACTCCTTCAGACTCAGGGTCTTATTCATCATGCTCATATCCGTATTCATTCACATTCACTTTTTGCTCACGCTCAGACTCATTAACATGCATACTTACCCACCCTCCGATTCACTCGTATTCAGGTTCGCTCGTACTCAGACTCACTCGTACTCCGACTCGTATTCATCAAACTCATACTCAGACCCACTCGCGCTCATACTGATTCGCATCCAGATTCACTCGCAGCCAAACTCACCCTGATTCAGACTTACGCATAGTCAGACCCACTCGTGGTTAGACCCTTGCTGCTAGAGTTACTCACATTCAAACTCCATCAGACCCGGGCTCGCTCACACCCTTATTCGCTCACACACAGATTACTCACGCTCAGATTCACTCATCCAGTCTTTTCCCTTCCGATGGTCAAGTGCTCCCTCGCTCTTCCACTTGTGGTCCCCTCAGCTCTCCTGACATGTGCCCAGATGGCGCGGACGTCACTGAAGTCGTCGCTCTCGTCGTCGTCGTTGCCGCGCCCGTCGTCTACGCGGATTCGGCTTCACACGCGGATGTTTACAGGCACAGTTCCTCAGCGAGACGTGATAGGTTTATGAGGTGCACAGATTGGGGTCCCAGCGTCGAGTCGTTTATGTCCCAACCATCCTGTGGTCTTCGTTTTGGAGGGACAGCGCCCCGCGTTCCTTCCTCCTTCCTTCTCGCCCTCCTCCCTCCTCCCATCCTTGCCTCTGCCCTCTGCGTGTCCTCCTGGCACACATATCACATGGTTCGTGGCTCCACTTCAGGGCTCCACGAAGGGCCTCAGCGGCCGCGACTGCATGCGTCACCCTCACCCAGTACAGCGCTTCGTGGCTCCACAGGGAGCTCCACCGAGGGCCCCAGTAGCCGCGGCCGCATGCGCCGTCCCCCCGCCCCACGCAAGCTCAGCGCGTTTCGTGGCCCCACAGGGAGCTCCACCGAGGGCCCCAGTGGCCGCGGCCGCATGCGTCTCCCCCACCCAGGACATCAGCCCATGGCTCGCAAGGGGTATCCATCGAGGTGCCCAGTGAAAATGGTCGCATGCGTCCAGTGACAATGGTCGCAGCGCTTCGTGGCCTCATAAGGGAGATCCGCCGAACGCTCCACTGACCGCGGCCACATGCGCCTCTCCCATCCAGTACAGCGCTTGCGTCTCCCCAGTGGCCGTCGCCGCTTGCGTCTTCCTTGCCAATTACGTCGCACCCCATCACGCGCTTCGGGGCCGCATCGGGCGCTCCACCGAAAGCTGTACCCACAACGCGGTATTCACAGCTGCATGTGGCTGGTTCCTTCGCCAGGATATGTTTCCTAATCATCCTGTGGTGCTGGGTCCCCGTTTTGAAGAGACGGCGCCCCGCGTTCTCTCCTCGTCCCTACCCCCCTTCTTCATCGTTCGATCTCTGTCTCTTCTCTCCGCATGTCAACCAGTTCGGCGCACCCATCACACGTTTCACGCCCCCATAGGGAGGTCTGGGAGCTCCACCTAAGAGGCCCCAGGGGGGTGATGTACCTCATGCGGCCGCCCCACCAATGTCGGCACACCCCTCACACGTTCTGTAGCCCCACATGGGGGCTCCGCCGAAGGCCCTCGGGCGTACTACAAGCGGCCGCCCCACCCATTTCAGCACACCCCTCACAAGTTTCGTAGCACCATAGGGAGACCCCAGGGGAGTCCCATGCTGGCACGCCCCTCACAAGCTTCGTGCCCCCATGGAGAGCTCCGCCGAAGGCGCCAAGGGGTGTACCACACGCGGCCGCCCCACCCGCTTCGGCACACCCGTTACACGTTTTGTAGCCCCGTTGGGGGGCTCCACCTAGGGTCCCAGTGCCAGGGCCCGCATGCCACGTTTTATGGTCCCACAAGGGGCTCCACCGAGTGCCCCAGCGACAGGGCCCGCATCGCGGCCCCGTCTCATTTCGGCACACCCCGCACACGCTTCGTGGCCCAATAGGGTGCTCTATCTAAGGCCCTAGTGGCAGCGCCCGCATGGCCGCCCCGCCCCATTTCGGCACACCCCTTCGCACGCTTCGTGATCCCAGCAGGATATCAATCGAAGGCGGTACTCACAACGACGGTGCGCGTAACTGCAAATGGCTGGGCCTTGCGCCGGGATACTGTGTAACAGCACGGTGACGGTCGTTTTCCGAGGGTGTCCGCGCATCCTTGTTTCTCCGCCCATTCTAACCCTCATCCGTGGGCAATGGGCTTCTGACTACGGTCTCGCTTTGGGCGTCCACTGGCCTTGCGTCCTTGCCGCGCGTGCCTACAACCCTGTCGCACTGTGCGGGTGGCTCGCGCAGGGCTGCCCTGGGATGTGGACGTTGCAAGTGCCTGCGCGTCAGGAGTTGTTGCCCAGCTTCGGCCCTGCTGGGGCCATCACAGATCAACCTGGCTAGAGGAATGCCGAAATGAATTAGGGTCCAGGGTTGTGGCAGAAATTCCCCACGGCGCTTAATTCCCAGCCGTCTTGTGTGTTGGGTCCTCGTTTTATAAACGCAGAAGGCACCTGTTGCGGTGCCCGCATGCGTTTCCCCCACCCAGTACAGCGTGTCGTGGCCCCATAGGAAGCTCCACCGAAGACTCCGGTGGCGGTGTCCGCATGCGTTTTCCCGCCCAGAACAGCGCTTCTTGGCCACATAGGGAGCTCCACCGAAGGCCCCAGTGGCGGTGTCCGCATGCGCTTCTCCCACCCAGTACAGCGTCTCTCGGTCCCATAGGGAGCTCCACCGACACCCAGTGGCTGGGCTCCCATGCCCAGTACAGCGTTTCCTGGCCCGTTAGGGAGCTCCACCGAAGGCCCCAGTGGCGGTGTCCGCGTGCGTTCCCCATGCCCAGTGCAGCGTCTCGTGGCGACATAGGGAGCTCCAACGGGGGCCCCAGTGACGGCCCCGCCCTATTGCGGCGCACCCCTCACACGTTTCGCGGCCCCATAGTGGGTTCCGCCTACAGCCCCAGTGGCAGCGCCCACATGGCGGCCCCGCCCCATATCGGCACGCCCTTCGCATGCTTCATGGCCCCATGAGGAGATCCCCCGAAGACGATACCCGCATCAACGGCACTCACAACCGAGGGCGTTGTGGGGACCGCGAGGGGATGTACCGTCACTCATGTGCTCGCTCCCTCGTGCAGGCCGTGATGGTCGGGGACCAGTGCCAGCTGCCAGCGACGGTGCTCAGCCAGGACGCCCCCCACCTTCACACGTCGGCGGCGAGCCTGGGGGGGAAATGAGCAAGAGAAGGCCTTCTCAGAAGGCTCGGAAGTCCCCCGGTCTTCTCACAAGTTTTCGGAGCCTCCCCCGAAGATTCAGAATACCTCTCAGAAGGCCAGAGGCCTTCTGATAAGCTCCGCCGCCCTCTGAGAAGGCCTTCCTTCTCCGTCTCACTTCTCTCCGCCCCCCCCTCGCTCGCCGCCGAACAGGGGCCGTCGCTGGCCAGAAGCCTCCCGCAGGGATTCGAAGCACGACAGCGGCGACGACGACGACCGGCCGCAGCGCCCGATGCGTCTCGGGGGCCAGGCCGCCCCCGCCAGGCGGGGCGAGTGCGGGGCGCATCAGAGATGGACCCCTTCGATCCTCGACGGTGGGAGGCCCAGAGAGGATCGCGTCGTAGGAGATTCGGTGCAGAGGCGGTTCGCCATTTTCGGCCTCTGCGGGCCCGCGCCGGGCCCCGGAGCCGTCAACAGAAAAACTCGGGATGACACACGGGCCCTGGGGAAGGGGTCGGGACTTCAGGGACCGCGTATTGAAAAAATCAAAACGTCGCGTGTCTGAGGGGCAGACCTCGGCAGGGAGGGGAGGAGGAGCCACTGGATGGCGACGTTCTCGATGACAGCCGTCGCCGCCGTCGTCGTCGTCAACGTCGTGGTCCTCGTTGTCAACTTCGCTGTCGCTGCCGTCGCGGCAACTGCCGTCGTCGTCGTCGTCTTCGTCGTCGTCTTCGTCGTCGTCGGCTTCGCCGCTGTCGTCGTCGTCGTCGTCGTCGTCGTCGTCGTCGTCGTCGCCGCTGTCGTCGTCGTCGTCGTCGTCGTCGCGGTCGTTGTCATCGTCGTTCTAGTCGTCAAAATCTTCGTCCTCATCCTGGTCGTCGTCTCCGTCGTCTTCGTTTGCGACGTGGTCCTCGTCATCGTCGTCGACGTCGTCGTCGTCAACGTCGCCGTCGCGGTCGTCGCTGGGTGCCGGGCCCCGACCGGGCCTGGATGTTGGGCGAGGAGGCGCAGCGCCGGGGGCTCGACGTGTCGATGTTCGACCGGCTGCTGTCCATGGGCGCCCTACCTGCCGGGGGGGCAGCAGTTAGCGGAGTCGGCGGCATGAGGCGGGAGAGGGGGGAGGAGGAGGAGGAGGAGGAGGAGGAGGAAGAGGAGGAGGAGGAGGAGGAGGAGGAGGCGGAGCAGGAGGAGGAGGAGGAGGAAGAGCAGGAGGAGGATCAGGAAGACGGGAGAGCAGAATGAGGAGGAGGAGGAGGAGGAGGAGGCGGAGATGAGGAGGAGGAGGAGGAGCAGGAGCAGGAGGAGGAGGAGGAGGAGGAGGAGGAGGAGGAGGAGGAAGGGGAGGAGGATGTCAAGAGTGAGAAGCGCGGCGCTACGAATTCAAAACGAGTGCCCAACTCCACAGGATGGATTTGGAAAAGCCGAAGTCTGCAAGGGATTGGCCGTCTTGAGGTGCTTTCCAGGGCGGATGGCAGACACATAATCTCGCTGACTCTTTCTGGCTTGTGGTTCCTGGGGCAAGCCTTTCGCAGACCCACTATTCAGCTGTCAATTTCCCACGCGTCCAACGGACACCTGGTCCCATAGAGTGCAAGCCGTCGAACCACAAACGAGGAACACTCTGCTGTCGTTAAGGTCCATGACGGTTGCATCAGACAAAGGGGGAGGGGGGCGAGGAGGAGCAGGAGGAGGGCGAGTAAGAGTATGATGATGACGATAATGATGTTGCTGCTGATGCTGCTGATGATGATGATGATGATGAGCAGGAGGAGGAGGATGATCAGGAGGATGGGGATGAGGATGAGGAAGAGGCTGCGGTTGCTGATGAGGTCTCGCCTATGTGCGATCACCGCCCGCACTTTCGCCCCATGTATCATGCCAGGTGTGCGCGCAATCGGAGGCACATGTGACACATCAGCGGGCTGATTCGAGCACGATTCGCAGTGGGACATTGTTGGCAGCTGCTTGCTTTACGGAAGCGAAGAAACAAGATGCGGATGATAATGGCGATGATGATGTTGATGCTGATGCTGATGCTGATGATCGAATAGATGTGATGATGCTGCTGCTGATGAGGAGTCGGAGGATGAGGAGGAGGAGGAGGAGGAGGAGAAGGAGCAGGAGATGTGAGAGGCCGAGGAACATGAGAATGGGGCGGGCACGATTCTTCTCCAGCCCGTCTGCCAGGTATGGAGTACCAGGTGCTCAAGGACCGCACGTGCCCCCCGGGTATCCGCAGAGCAGACTGCCCCAGTCGCACCCTGCAGGTGCTATCGCTCGACCTCCTCTCCACTCTCGCGAGACACTTCCGGTGCGGGGATTTACCCATGACCACCGCCTGAGGGATCGCTCTTCGGGGACCTCAGCAGGTCGTGGAGATGCACACTCGTCGGGCCCCCCAGGGCCAGAGTATATCGATATCCACCGCTCGCTGGGGCTCCCGGACGTCTGCTCCACAGGCGGTGGATTTGGATGCATCTCCGCCCCGCGACACCCTTCGCCACGAAGTCATTGGAGGGCCACTCGAGGCCTCTTGGAGGCTTCTCGGGAGCCTCCTGGTGCTTTGGGAGGGGTTGGCCCAGTTTTGGACAGGAGGCTCCGGCGGTAGGGCGGTTGCGCGCTCTTTTGCCATTTCTTGGGGCTGTATTGTCGGCCTCTTGGGCCCCTCTCGGGAGCCTCTGGGGACGTCATGGGACGAGCTTGGACGTCTCGAGGGCCATTTTGGACGCCCTTCAGACCAAAATGGCAATTAAGCTGATGTTGGAGCATGCAGTATTTCAGTGAACTTAGGATCTTGGGCCAGCCACCCAGGGTCTTCAAGACGGTGCCAGGAAGGACCTAGGGCATGCTGGAAGATTGGGTACCCAAAGACGCTTCCAAGGTCTTCCAGCCATTTTGGCTCAACTTCTGACATTTCGATTAAGCAACGGGAGTGGATCTTTCATAAGGTTTCGACGGGCCTTGCCACCAACACGCTCCTATCATGTAGGACACCGCTCTGTAATCACGTGTGCGTGGCACTTGGAAGTGGCATTTGCCCGTCCAGCACTGCTGCTGACACAGCAAGTTATACGTACTTGCTCCTGTGGGCTGCAGTCAGTATCATGTCCTACTACATTGGTCGCGACACTGCGAGGACCACGGGATCCAACGCCAAAGTTGTAAAGTTACTCACCGCCAGTTCGGTAACCGACAGTGGTGCCTTCGATGGTGGGCACCAATCCAACCCTGCAGCCACCACCAAGGAACGATTGCCGCCCAAGAAAGTGTGTTCTTGCCATGTCAGGTCAAACGATGCCGAGTACCGGCTGGGACAGAAAAGATATCGAATGACACCTAGCATGCGTTCCATGGAACCCGTGCAGACGCAGTGTGTGCCCTACAACGCATAAACGGTTCGTCAAGTGATGAGAAATTGCATCAGATTCGGACAATGTGCCACTGCCGTGAATTATTCGATCAGATGTTGGATAAGGGCACCGTTCCAAATGCACATGCGATTTCCAAGTCCGTGTCCGACAAATTCTTCAATCTCGTCGTCGGCACCCTCGGTGGCAAACGCATTCGGGAAGCGGGGCCGCGGCTTATTGATCTACTGTAAGCTCATGGGCTTTCACCTCCAGTTGCCACCCAGAACCGTTTGTTGCTTGCATGGGGTAATCTGCTTCCAGAAAGCAGTTTGTGGTGTTGTTTGAAGATTTGGAGCGGTGGTGGTATTCTCTGCATTGTGGTATACCGTTACATCGTGGTGGCCCACCAGTGGTCCGATCCAGCATTCGCGTTACAACTTTTTGAAGAGATGGAGGTGCTAGGCTATACAGCCAACAGAGCGGCGTACAAAACAGTTTTGGTTGCTTGCTGCCAGCTTGGATTGCACGAAGAAGCCCAGCACTTGTTCATACATATGGCAGCCCGTGCGCTGGAACCCGATGCAAAGTCCTACGGTACCATGGTCAACGTCTTTTCGTCTAACAACGAGCCCGAGAAGGCTCTCGCATGTTTGGAGACTATGCAGAACTGGTGCTTCAGGCCCGATCGTTTTGACTACACCATGCGATCCTCTCCTGCATCGCGCTCCAGCGCATTCAGTATGCCGTGGAATTGTACGAGGGCGCGGTTCAGGCAAATGTGACCCTCTGCGTTTACATGCACGTCGTTCTGAGTTCAGCGTGCCGGGAGTTTGGTCGTCTTCAGCTGGTTGACAAGATCATGGCATACCAGTTGCGCGTGAGAGCATCAGATGCCGAGCGTGGGCTTGCCTCACACGCTTTGTGAGGTCGAATGGGCCATTGCCGACGAGTGTTCCATGAAGGTGCGGCAAGTTGCGTGCTGCAATCTGGTATGGTTGCCCCACTTTCATGGCGTCTGATTTTCATCTGATTCCCGCAAGTCACATGTCATCTGACCCGGTGCACATAGAGCATCAGCTGCTGATCGATTGGCGGGGGAAAAAATGAAGTGGAGAGATGGGGAAGATGCAAGTTTAGGCGCGCCCGCGCCATATCAGGCATCCCACCGCTCCCAACCATCCCTTCCATTGCGCGGAAATCGTTTCTATCCACGGATTTGGGTGTCCACGTTAACCTTGACCCCCCAAACAATGCTTGTCGTGTGACTCGTAACCAGACAAAACAAGGGGGGGCTCTGTACACTTGACGAGGAGGGCAGGTGGCGGATGAGCAGGAGGACGAGCATACTAATCAGGAAGCAGGAGGAGCAGCAGCAGCAGGAGCTGGAGTAGAAGGAGCAGGACGTCCAGCGCAAGGCGGAGGAGGAACAAGGAGGCGGACGGCAATGGCGACCAACGAGTCGGACCCTGAAGCGTCCCTTTCACTGGGGCGAGAGAGCATATCTTAACGACGGGAGCAGCTTGGCACATTTTTGCGAAGCGCCGAAGACGGCCCGACTGAAGCTGAGAAAACAGATCATGTTTGACATCTCGTGCGTGTGTGTATGTGTGAGCGCCTGGGTGAAATCAGTATCTGGGTGGGGGGCGCCCCCGCACCGTGTAGCACCAGCGGAGAGGAGAGGACTGCTTAGAGTTTGTAAATGTGGAAGGGGGGAGGTGATGCTGACATCGTGGGTGAGGAGAGGGACGAAAATTTGGAGGGCAAGGGAAGGGTAAGGTAACGAGACATGTGAGATGAGTGCCAGGGAGTGGGATGGATGTGAGGGTGGGGGCGGGAGAGGAGGGGGGAGGGGAGGGAGAAGGGGATGGATGCGCGATGAAGGACGGGGAGTAGGGCAGAGGAGGTTCGCCGATGGCAGGGTTCATTGTGGCGCTTCTATATTCCGCTCATCCTTGTTCCCCTACGCCTTCTCTTGCTCCTCCTCCATTCCTCCTCCCTTGGGTCACGTTCTCCTCCACTTCCCCTCCTCCTCCTCGTCCGTCCTCTCCCTGTTCCTCTTCCGCTTCCTCCTCCTCTCCTTCTTCACCTCCTCCTCCTCCTCCTGCTCCTCGTTCCTCCTCCTTTCCTCCTCCTCCTCGTTCCTTCTCCCCGTGTTGCCCGAGCAGGAGGAGCAGCAGGAGTGCGTGGAGGAGAAACGGAGGAGGAGGAGGAGGAGGAGGAGGAGGAGGAGGAGGAGGAGGAGGATGAGAAGGAAGAGGAGAAGGAAGAGGAAGGCACTTCCAAGCTCTGTTCGCGGAGCACCTTCCCGAAGCCGCGGACGGCTTCCAGTTGCTCCATGTCCCTGGCCCCAAACCTCCCTCCCCTGCCACTGTCCTCCCCAAGGGGGGGAGCAGGAGGAGGGGGAGGAAGAGGAGGAGGAGCAGGAGGACGAGGAGGAGTGCTCCGGCTCAGACCATGTTGGGCTCAAGCAGCCGTAGTGGCATTGTCTTCTTGGACGCATATGGTAGATTCTTCAGGCTTACGCCACATCCGCCGACCCCTTATGAAGAATCGCGCAGTGGTCTGGTCGCCTCTTTGGGTGGTCTGAGGCCCCTGGGCCATTCTTGGGGCATTCTTGGGTTGTCTTGGGGCCCCTTAGGCCGTCCTGTGGCAGTATTGGGCTGTCTTGGGGCTCTCTTGGGCTGTCATCGGCCTCTCTTGGGCTGTCATGGGGCGCTCTGGGCGTTCTTTTCGGCCGTCTTGGCCGTCGCCATCTGTTGCCGAGGACTGTGGTATGCCCTTGGTGACCTCAGAACTGCTTTGCGGTGTCTTTTGGAACCGTCAGGGGCGGCCGTGGGGTGACCTTCGATCGTTTCAGGCCATGGTCAGAGACCCGCCGAAACGCCCTGCGGAAGCAAGTGACGAGCACGGCGGGAAGCGACGCAAGTTGCGAGGAATCTGACCGCGAGTCGCGCGCGTTGTCTTCGGGGCTCTCTTGGGCCGTCCTCTGCCCCTCTTGAGACCCGTCTTGGCGCCCTCTTGGGCTGTCGCGGGGCCCTCGTGGAGGCTTCTTGGACCGTCTTGGTGCGGTCTTGGGGGGCTCTGGGGCCGCCCAGGAGCGGGGAACACCCCAAAAGGCGCATGTGCGAGAAATATATACGTTTTACGAAGGGAACGGGCGTTTTTGTGCGTCTAGAGGCCCTCTTGTGGCGCATCGTGGATGCCTCTTGGGGCGTCTTGAGGGCCTCTGTAGCCGTCTGGAGGTCGTCGTCAGTGTTGTTGATCGCTCTTGGACCGTCGGGGACCATGTGGAGCTCTCTTCGAGGCCACTCGGGGCGCTCCTGGAGCGCTGTCGGGGCCGTTTTCGGAGCCCTTTTGGGCCGTCTTGGACGTCTGTTGGCCCGTCTTGGGGCCCTCTAGGGCTATATGGGGAACCCTTTTGGAGGCGTCTTGGGCCGTCTGGGAGCGGGTTTGGGGGGCTCTGGGACCGTCCAGGAGCGGGGGGCACCCCGAAAGGCGCACGTGTGAGACAAAATATATACGTTTTACAAAGGGAACGAGCGGTTTTTTGCGTCTAGAGGCCCTCTGTGGGCGCATTGTGGATGCCTCTTGGGCCGTCTTGGGGGCCTCTTCAGCCGTTTGGAGGCCGTCGTCGATGTTTGTGATCGCCCTTGGACGGTCGAGGACCATGTGGAGCTCTCTTCGAGGCCACTCGGACCGCTCCTGGAGCGCTCTCGGAGCCGTTTTCGGAGCCCTTTTGGGCCGTCTTGGACGTGTGTTTGCGCGTCTTGGGGCCCTCGAGGGCTATGTACGGACCCTCTTGGAGGCGTCTTGGACCGTCTGGGAGCGGGTTTGGGGGGCTCTGGGGCCGTGCAGGAGCGGGGGTCATCCTCAAAGGCGCACGCGTGAAACAATATACGTTTTACGAAGGAAACAACCGATTGTTTGCGTCTAGAGGGCCTCTTGGGGGGAATCTTGGATGCCTGTGGGGGCGTCTGGGGAGGCCTCGTGAGCCGTCGGGAGGTCGTCGTCGATGTTTCTGATCGCTCTTGGACCGTCTGGGACCATGTGGAGCTTCGGGGAGGCAACTCGGAGCGCTCCTGGAACGCTCTTGGGGCCGTTTTCGGAGCCCTTTTGGGCCGTCTTGGGCGCCTGTTGGCCCATCTTGGGCCCTCTAGGGGTCTGTGGGGGACCCTCTGCGAGGCTTCTGGGGCCGTCTGGGAGCGGGTTTGGGAGCCTCTTGGGCCGTCGGGGAGCATCGGAAAGATCCAAAGCTGAATTTTTTGAAATGTACATTTCACAATGGGAATGGCCCAATTCTGGCGTCTAGGGACCCTTGTGGAACGCATCTCGGAGGCCCTCGGGGGAGCTCGTGGGGACTTCTTCTGCCGTCGAGGACGCCTCGTGGCCCGTCTTCGGGCAACTTGGACGTCTTGGAGCGCTCGTGGGGCGTCCCAAATCCATTTCAAAGCCACCAGACGCGTCCCTACACGAATTTCACGTGTTTTTTTCAACGTTTTTCGTCACCCCCAAAAGCGCACGTGTGAAAAAATATACGTTTTACGAAGGAAACAAACGATTTTTGCGTCTAGAGGGCCTCTTGGGGGGAATCTTGGATGCCTGTGGGGGCGTCTGGGGAGGCCTCGTGAGCCGTCGGGAGGTCGTCGTCGATGTTTCTGATCGCTCTTGGACCGTCTGGGACCATGTGGAGCTTCGGGGAGGCAACTCGGAGCGCTCCTGGAACGCTCTTGGGGCCGTTTTCGGAGCCCTCTTGGGCCGTCTTGGGCGCCTGTTGGCCCATCTTGGGCCCTCTAGGGGTCTGTGGGGGACCCTCTGCGAGGCTTCTGGGGCCGTCTGGGAGCGGGTTTGAGAGCCTCTTGGGCCGTCGGGGAGCATCGGAAAGATCCAAAGCAGAATTTTTTAAAATGTGCATTTCACAATGGGAATGGCCCAATTTTGGCGTCTAGCGACCCTTGTGGAACGCATCTCGGAGGCCCTCGGGGGAGCTCGTGGGGACCTCTTCTGCCGTCGAGGACGCCTCGTGGCCCGTCTTCGGGCAAACTTGGACGTCTTGGAGCGCTCGTGGGGCGTCCCAAACCCATTTCGAGGCCACCAGACGCGTCCCTACACGAATTTCACGTGTTTTTCCACGTTTTTCGGGAGCGGATGAGACCTCCGGGGGGTTCCGGCCCGTCCGGCCGGACCCCCCCCCCCCTCCAAATGGACCGGACCGGGCTCCCGGGGGAGGGGTTTGGGGAGGGGGAACATCTCACACGCCGATGAACCCCAAGGGGTCGGCGGATTGGCATTGTCTTCTTGGACGCATATGGTAGATTCATCCTTGATCCGCCTTGATCGTCCGCCCCCCTTTCGATTCCCAAGGGAAGGCATCTGACAGAAACTGGACCCGGGGGACACTTGCGATGATACTGCGAGCGCACCACCGTGATCGAGCGTGTTAGTTTGCGTACCCAAATGTCACCGCGCTGGTGTCAATCGCCATCTCGCCGCGATAAGGAGCAGTACCGTATGCACCCCCAGATCGCCGCGTTCCCGTCCTGGCGCTTCTACCGCAGCGAGCTGAACAGCGCCGTGACCGCCAGCGCGCGGCAGGAGACGCGACACCACACCGCTCTTTTGCCCCCCGTCGTCGCCGTCCTCATTCTCTTTCGGACGTCCGCTCCCCTCCTTCTCATCATCCCTCCGCTGCTGCTCCTCCCTCCCCGTCTTTCTCCTCGTCTTCCTTCTCCTCCTCCTTCCTCCTCTCCCCCCGTCCGCCTCCACTTTCTCCAACTCCACCTTCCCGCCCCTCCTCCTCCTCCTCCCTCATCCACTTCGCCCTCCTGCTCAGCCTCTTCCCTTCTCCTCCGCCTCGTTCCCCCTCCCCACTCCAGCTCCTCCTCCCTCCCTCACTGCATCCTTCCTTCCCTCCCTCTGTCCCTCTCCTCCCTCCACCTCTGTACTCCTCGAGCAATTGAGGCTCAGAGGGGAAGGCGGGAGTGGAGAACTCCCCACCCCCTCTCCCGGGGCCAACCTCTGGGCTTCTTCACAGCGCTCGAGGACCTTGGGTCCAGGGCCACGCCACGGCCGTGGGCATCCGACGGACACAGAGGAACCCGTTCCAGGCATCGTGCCGCAGGCACCCGACATTGCTCGCCGCGTCCAGACACCAGGAGCTCTGGACGCGTTGCGCAGCTTGTTGCAGGCGCCGCTCCCCGTCGGCCTCGCGGGCGCCACAACCCCTTGCCAATCCCCAAGAGCGAAACACGAGGAGGCAAGGGTGCTGCGCGAGGCATCGTGGTCTCCGAGCTGCCCGAGCAGGCCGTGCAGGCGACGGAGGATGCCTCCTTGCAGAATGCCTTCAATCAGCAGATAGATAAGATCAACGCTGCCAATGCCGAGGCAGTTGCTGTGGTAACTCCTGCCGGAGCCCTGCGCACATCAGATGGTGCTTGGCGCGACGCAGAACAACAGCACAACCAGTGCACCGAAAACGTAGTCAGGTTCAGAGCCAACCTCCAGGCGGCAGAGGAGAATGCGGATCTCGCGGCAGTGACGCTAGATTCCACCACGGCAGCCAAGAAGACCGCGGCGCAGGCCTCGGCGCGCGCCGGGAGAGTCGCCGAAGCGGCAGGCACCTCCAAGTCGGCTGCCATCTTCACAATCGAGTGGGGCGATGGATTTTTCAACTCGCTAGACGAGGTGGGGTGTACGCCCGAGGAAAAGAAGGTGGTCACTGACTTGCAGAAGCACTTGGTCGGAGTTCCGCAGGGCCTCCCGTGCAAGGGAGCTGGTGTTAATCACTGATTAGACGACGCCCGTCGGTCCCAGAAGGGGAACACCAACCGCACGCATAACACTTCACAACGGCAACAGCATCGCGGTCAAGGAGGACGCGCCGCCCGAGGAGAAGAGCCAGGACCATAAACACACGCTTGATTCTGCTCCTGTGGCCTCCCAGGCTCCTGACCAAGGCGGCTTCCACGGTCAAGGTGGGAGAGAAGGCCACGAAGCTGTCCGAGGCCAAGCTCACAGCTTAAACCGAGGCCAAGGCGGCCAAGGCCACGGCCAAGGTCGTTGGCTGATGCACGGCTGTTTCGACGGCGGCGGCCTCGTCTCGACGAGGGTCCGACGCCAACGGGGGCAACGCAGTCCAGAAGGATGCCGTCATGGCGATATTTTTCGCGAGTGTCATGGCGTTAGCTGTCAAGTTCGAGTGGTCGCAGTGATGCGAGTAGTCAGACGCAGTGATCCTTACAAGTATTCGTGATAGCGACAACTGTTAAACGCGGTTCGCCAGGCGACGGTCGAGGAACTCACCGAAATTGAGGAGCTCGCTATTCGGTTCGCCAGGCAGAGCCAGCATCGTCCAATCCAATATTCATTCACTGAGTTTCGCGAGTGTGTTGGGACGCTGCCAGCAGCGGGTGCGCTCCACAGGGCTATCAGGGACCCTATGCCCGCAGCTGACAGCCTCTTAGATCGGACCCGCGACACTGATCCACCCGAAGGACATCGTGGACGCCAAGGCCCAGCACTGGTAGCGCTTTTGGGTTATTGCAGTGGGTGGGCTCCAACAGCTATCTGGAATGGTGCCAGAGATGTGTAATCTTGTTCGAGATGGCACTCTCTTGCCATTGGGTGTCTTGAAGGTGAGGGCCGCGCTCACGAGCATGAAACCCAATGCGGCGATGGGGGTGGATCGTGACGGATGTCTCGACTTCGGCCGCTTGCCCCGCATCGCCTTGGCTGAGTTCGGCGGCATTCTCGCGCTCTGCGGGTTGCGCCAGGTGCGGCCCCATCAGGTGCTCCCAGCGCTGGGCTCCCTCTTGCCCAAGAAGAGCTCGGGGGGCCGGGTGATCGGGCTGCCGTCGCACCTCGATCGCACATGGTCTCGGGGTCGCGAGGAGCATGTCGGAGCTCGGACGGCCCAGTGCGAGGCGCAGTGGGGCGCTGCGGTGGAGGTGGCGCAGCTCTTCGCGATGTTCCCCCCCCCCTTGGCTGTCGACGAAGTGCCTTCGTCCCGGCATAGGGCGTCAGCGGGCAACGGCACGCTCGACACAGAGCTTTAATAACACAGCCGGCTGGCTCAGCACGGGGAGGAAAAATACTTAGCGTGGAGTTCCCACAAGAAGGATTCGGTCTCGAACTTCAGCAATGCAAGGCAGTTCGGCGCGTGAGTCGGGCAGGAACATATGAGGGACCTCTGCCCCAGCTCGCTCCATCGTCCCAGGAATCGAAGCAGGTGCGAGATTTGGGAAGTGTTCGACGAATAGCGTATTGCAGAGGGCCACGGCGAGTCGTGTGACTTTTTTATTTTAGATAGGGTGGCAACCATCGCCAATCCGTTCGCGGGGTCAGAGCTGCCGTTCGAGATGAACTCGTTGCATGTCTCGCGGACCCCTGTCAGCGGCTGACCAATCACGGCTTGGCCGCGTCTCCCATGTCGGTGGTGGCGTTTGCGCGCGTTGCGGACTCGCGCGCTGCGGTTCGCAAATTCGCAGCGCAAGGATTTCGCATCGCGGCGGCGGCCTGTTCGGAGGACGACGCCGCGGTAGAGCGGCGTGACGGGCGCGCGCTGACGAGCGCAAGCCCGCGTCTAAGAGGATCGCGGGCTTCGCTCGAACATGTCGCGCGCCAGCTCAGCTGGAAATTCAGGGCGCTCAACCTGGGGCGGCCGCGCGCGCGCCGGCTTCGCGGCGCGACGGGCGGCCGGGCGCTTCAGGATTGCGAGGCGTTGCCGCGCCGCTGCGCTGGACCTCGCGGCCCCTGATCTCGGCCCGCGTTGCGCGTTGGCGATTGAGATGAAACTTTGCGGATGAGGCCGCCCGCGCGGCCCCCTCAATCGTCGTTTCGCGCTTGCGCCGAGCTGGCGTGGCCCAAGATGGCGCGGGAGATTGCGAGCTCGGCGCCGGCTCTCAGGCGCCGCAGGATGTGCAAACCCAAGGGCGCCGTCGCATTCTCTCTCTCTCTCTCTCTCTCTCTCTCTCTCTCTCTCTCTCTCTCTCTCTCTCTCTCTCTTTATATATATATATATGGACAGCGGGGCGGTCGCGAGAGACGCCGTCGGCCCGCGCAGCTCCCGACGGCAGCTTAGACTGGCTGCTCAACGTCGACAGCCTCCCGGGACACCAGGTCAACGACGTGCCAGAGGCCGTCTTGCGACCGCGCAGAGAGCCGGTTGAGCGTTGCGCGTGGCAGAATGCAGCGCGGCATGTTGGAGGCGCTGGCATGGGCGGCGGAGTGCAATTTCTCGCGCGGGATTTTCTCGGCGCAACTGGAATGGGCGCCAGGTGGGCATCGACTGTCGGCATTGTTGGCGGCGGCGGCTGGCACGGCCTGGCCGCGCGCGTGACATCGGACGCGTTGCAGTCAGGCCATGTCTGTGATCTGGTTTCGCTGTAAGCTGCTTTCCGAAACAAGCGCCCGCCGAGCAGGGGGGCTCGGGATTAAAATCGTCGACGATTTCGTCGCCGCGGCCTACAGGCCGAGGTTGGCGAGCGTTTTGGGCCTGCGGCTTTATTTTCCAAAGCGCTGGGTGCGCGCGGGGCCCCGCCCCGACTTCGGAGAGTTGGGCGACGGCCGACGGCGCGGAGTTGGGTGCTTCCAGGCACGGGCCCCCCTGACTGGCCTGTCGGTAAGTTTTGGGGCGCGAGCGGGGGCGGGCGCGCCCGCCGCCCCCTCCTCCGCCGCGTTTGATTTGGTTTAGCTGCTCTCTAGCATGTTCCAGCATGTAGAGCAAGTTCTGCTAGCGTTTCTGTCAGAGCTTGGGGGCCCCTTCCAGGCTCGCGGCAAACCGTTGCTCGAGGGCAGCGCATGTGTCTCCTAGTCTGTCTTCGGCGAATCTCTGGCCATTGCGCGTGCGCCACAGATAATGGCTCTGAAATGAGAGGCTGGCCTCGGCGTAGGTGGATCGAGCCGCCTGGTTCCGACGCTGATTCGCGATGACGCCTAGGACAGGTCACGCAGCAGAAGGTTGATTCGTCTGTTGTTCCGCGCTGCTCGTCCACTCGCACTTAGTGGGCGAGCAAGTAGCAGAAGGAGCTGTGCCTCGGCTGCGGGCGTTGGGCAGCGCTATGGCAGATGGTTTTGCTGCTGCGGGCGCTGGCCTGGCTCGACTGGCCGAGTCAATCCGCGCGCGTGCACATCGCGAGGGAGGAGCATTTTGTTTGTCAGTTCGCACGCGTAGCCTGCAAAGGAGGCGTTCCGAGACGTCTCGTAGCTGAGTAGGGTAGATGCGGAAGCGCAGGCTTCAAGTTTCTGGCGTTGCAAGGCCGACCGCGGTCATTGTGAGTGCTTGGTTTAGCGCTGCGCTCTGCCCTCAAGTGACGGCAAGGGCTGTTCCGCGCGTCAGGGGCTACCTTCGCTGGCCAGAATATGATAGCCGGATTGCCGTATCCCCCAACAAGGTTTTTAGACCCACTCCGGTTTCCAAGGTCGATTGCACGCCCGTCCAGTGCGGGTTGGCATGGCATGTTAGCACATGATTACATTATGTTTGCACATGAGATGCTTGTACGAAAACTTGCGTGACGCATGCCTATCAGGAAGCTGACCCTAGAGGGTGTCGTACTCTCTCGCATCTGGTCGACGGGTAAGCTGTCGGGTCGGCACTGCGAGAGGCCCCACCGCCATGCTGTGAACTCGGAAGCAACTGTAAGAGGAAGCGGGGGAGGGCGTGGAGGCGGGGGGGCATGTCGCGATGGTTCCCCCGTGGATGATATCGAGAGGTACGCGGCGCACGTTTCAAATGAAAAATCGTGACGTCGGATGTCTAGGGAGGGCGGGAGGCAGTGCGCGCATGACGGATGCTGATGCGGCAGAACCGACGACGGCGGGGACGGGGAGGCGGAGGCAGAGGCGCAGCAGCGGGAAGCGGGAGGCGGGAGGAGGGAGGAGGGAAGAGGAGCCAGGCGGGAAGTGGGAAGAGGGAGGCGGGAGAAGGAATGAGAGAGGTTGTCATTGGAACCCCTGTGCTACGAAACATCTCAGGCAGAACGGGCCAGACCATCTCGCGCGCAACATTTTCGAGCCTCGCATTGCGATGATGGTTCAATCGAAACGGGCCGGACTACCTCGCGATAGACATCTTGGAGCTCAGTCTTGGAAGGATGTCTCGAACGGAACGGCCCGGACAACCTTTCGCACACGTTCTGACAAGTCCACGTCACACTCTCTCGGACCCCAGAGTTGCGACGATGTCTCGGGCGAAACGTGCTGCGAGGAAGTCTCAGGCGAAACGGGCTGGACCACTTCGAGCGCGGCGTCTCAGAGCTCCGAGTTGCGGGGGCCTCCTGTGCCTCCTGGCGCCTCCTGGGGACCTCGTGGGGCTTCCTCCTGGGCCTCCTGTGGCCTCCTGAACTCGACCTGGGGTTTCTTGACGCCTCTTGGGACTCCGAGGGGGGATATCTAACGTGTGGCCGTTTGGGCTCCTCAAAATTGAGGGGGGCACAAGAGCAGGAAAAATAAACGAAACGACACCGGATGTGTATTAACTTGACACGTTTTGATAAAGGGGGCCTCCTGGGCCCTCCTGGGAGCCTCCTGGGAATCTCCTGGGGACCCCTGGGGCCTGTCCTGGGCGTCCTGCGGCCTCCTGGAGCTCTCTGGGGCCTCCTGGGGCTCCCAGGGTTCCAGGGAGGATATGTAACATGTGGTCTTCTGGGCCCCCAGGCTGGACCACCTTTTGCGCGGCATCTGGGGGCTCAGAGTTGCGAGAATGTCTTGTGCGAAACAGGCCGGACCACCTTTGCGCACGGCATCTCAGAGCTCAGAGTTGCGAGGATGTCTTAGGCGAGACGGGCCAGACCACCTCGCGCAGGGCATCTCAGAGCTCAGAAGTTCGAGGATGCCTCAGGCGAAACCGCAGGACCACCTCTCGCGCGGCTTCTCCGAGGTCAGAGTTTCGAGGATGTCTCAAGCGAAACGGGGCGGACCACCTCGCGCAGGGTATCTCAGAGCTCAGAGTTTCGAGGATGTCTCAGGCGAAACGGCCCGGACCACCTCTCGCACGGCACCTCGGGGCTCAGAGTTTCGAGGATGTCTCAAGCGAAACGGCCCGGACCACCTGTCGCGCGGCGTCCCGGAACGCACTTTTTCGAGGATGTCTCAGGCGAAACGGCCAATCCCGGCCAACTCAGAAACGAGAGTTGTGAGGATGTCTCAAGCGAAACGGCCCGGACCATTAGATTTGTGTGAGGATGTCTCTGCTCCCCTTTCCCTCGGCCGGAGTTAGCTTCTATCACAACAGCACCCCGTTCAGCAAGCTGTTTGGGGAAAAACCGAATGGTTAGGCTCGCACTGCTTTTTGTCACTTGGGATGGACGGGCTTCTGCGCGGGCGCCCCCCTGGGCGGAGATTGCATCTCTCGGGGGAGGTCGCGCATGCACTGGGTGCGGTTTGTTGTCCAGCGCGCCCCTCGCTCGGATCGGGCCGCGCGGGGGTTTCAACTTGTGCCCGTAGTCCGCGGATGAATTTGCGATGCCTCGCAGATTTCGGCGCGCCTCTCACGCGGCGCGTGCTCCATATTGGGGGGGCCCCACCTGCGGCCTCAGCGAGTGGAGCCCCGTGCGATCCTTCAGAATTTGCCCCAGTCGGAATCCATTTCGTCCCAGTCGTCCCAGCAGGGGGCCCCGCTTGCGGCCCTTCGTAAGTGTCGGCGCGCCTCCTGCCGTGGCGCGCAGCATGTAAGCAGAGGTCCGTCTTGTGCGCTACCTGGAGCTACATAAAGCCAGCCGTTTCTTTGGCTTGGTGTTGGCTATGATGTGCTTCCCGTTCTCGTGCCTTTCGCGTGCCACCCAGCCGGGGTTCGATTGCGTAGCGGCGTCTGAGCCCCCCTCCCCCAAGCAAAGACCCCGCTGCTTCCAGGCGGAAGGACAGAACGCCGCTGGGCGTGCTGGTCTGCCAACGGGGCGGCACATCCGCTTGTGGCACTGGCCACCCACTTGAGCAGGATGGCGAGAGCGCTCTCCTGGCTTCGCGCCATCAGCCGCCGCCGTGGAGCTTCACCGCCACGAGCAGCAACTGCAAAAGCGAGGCCCCGTCTGGAGCGGTGGCGGAGATTGCTCTGGTGCTGGCGATGGAGCACCTCCAGACGGTCCATGGGCGCAGGCGGCGACACCTCGATGGTGTCGGCACGCGCCATCGGGCAGCAACGCCTCCAGCAGTAGTTTTCGCTCCGTCGCTCCCATGGGCCGGGTGGAGGTCAGCTGCGAGCGACGACCAGCTCTGCCCAGCCCGGCAGGCCGGCGCGAAAACGAGGATGATGATGACGAACTTGGCGATAAGGGTGATCGGGATTGGTGGCGGGAGAACAAGCTGACGGTCACGAGCGTTTGCTTCTCGTGTGGCGTGTCCGGCTCTGACCCACCACGCTTCGGCGCGACAAGCTGACCACGCCCCGGTCCCCGAGCGGATGGCGTGTCGCCGTGGCCGTCGCAGCGGCAGTTCTCTCGACCGGACCTCGTCTTTGAGGTCGCAGGGCCGCAGAGGGAAGAGAGGGGAAGAGATGGATGGATGCGGTGGGAGGGCTGGTCAGTTTCAAGGAGGGGGGGAAATCGAGGCTCGTTGCTCGAGGATCGAGGGGATTCGAGGATCAAGGTTCGACGAGGGAGCAGGGTCGAGGTTCGCGGAGGGGGGGGGATCTACACTCCCGCCCTGGACCGTGACCCCCGCATGTCCTCGGAGACTGGGAGGTCCCCGGCGGCCTCTGGCCGCCTCCGGAGGAGCGAGAATGACGAACCAACAACACACACCCATACCCATAGGGGGGTCGGAGAGGGCTATGGATGCGTGTTGTCGGATGGGGTCCCCGCTCGAACGGGAGCGTTCCCTATAGGTCCGACAACCCGCACCCATACCCATAGCCAGTCCTCCTCCCAACGACCCCCTTATGGGTATGGGTGTGTGTGTGTGTGTGTTGTTCGTTCGTCAGAGAAGTCCGAGAGCGTTGTGAGAATATGGTTCGCTCGATCGTCAGGGGCTGGAGGGAACGCTCCGCACGGAGGGGGGGGGACGGCGGAAGGGCCGCGGCGGAGACTGCCGCGGGGCGGGCCTGCGGAGCCCGCGGCACACACAAAATCCCGGCTGCGAGCTGCCCGCCCGGCTGCAGCTGCGGTCGCCGCTGGCCCCGCCCTCAGCCTGCCCCAGCGGATGCAGAGGGGGAGGCCATACTTCGCGACGAGAGATGGGAGATTCAAACGCTGAAGAGGTATCGATACCGCCGCTTGTCCTGGAAGGCCCTTCGTCACGGCTGGATTTTCCTCGGAGTTCGAGTCGGGACGCACCTGGGAGCATAGGATAGGTTTGGGGAGTAGCGGCGTCGGGCTTCCCCAGAGATTGACAGAGTCGCAACAGATAAGAACACACTGGACCCCCTGGCAGCGCCTCTGGCGCCGCCCCTGGCGCCAGGCCGAAAAATCTGCGCGGACCTCCGAAAGCTTGTGTTTAGCGCGTGCGGCCTCGCCTGGACACCGCATAAGCGGACAGGTGGGCGGGTCTGGCGCCGTCTCCCATCGTGCGAACCAGGCCTTCTTGAGCAGCACCTCGCTGCCGTTCCCGGAAGTATCCACCGCGGCCGTCGGAGGAAGGACAAGTGGCACCAGCACCAGGGGTGCCACCTCCAGCGAGAAGGTCGGGGATGTCTCAAGCAGATAGGGGGTACCACATCACCAGGAGGACTCCCCTGACTCCTCGCGCTAATGGTGGTGGTGTCGGTTTTCCTTTTTCCTAGGGCGTTTTTGTTTTCGGGGGGTCCGCTGGGGGCCCTGGGAGACGGCGCTGGGCCCTCCTGGGTGCGCCTCCGTTGCCAGCCGTGGCGGGCTTCGAGCGCCAGGAGTGTCCACCGAGCCGCGAAATCCACGCGGATCTCCGACAAAGGATGTTCGGTGAATGTTGTCTGTTTTAAACATGTGTTCCAGAGGTCGGACCTCTCTGTTTTCGTTCGTGGTTCGTTCCTTCGTGGTGCGTCCCTTTGCCTCCCTGGCCTTCCCCTCCCTGACCCTCCGGCCGCGGAGCCCTTCATGTTCGTTCGTGGTTCGTGCGTTCGTGGTTCGTCTCTGGCCTCCCTGGCCCTCTCCCCATGGGTCGCGGCTCCCTTCTGCAGGAGCCTGGGCACGCATGCGTGCCAGTTGTGTGGTGCTCATGGCTGCAAAGCTTGATGTAACTTTCGACGTCCTCGACGTCCAAGGGCGAGGAATCCAAGGTTCCGAATGTTTTCGAGTATCGCTGGGTGGTTCAGTTATCGTGTTGGGACGTTCTGCTGCGACCCTGGGGAAGTTGCCAGGGCGGCAGGAATTTCATTGCTTCCATTCGAAAGATTGGAGAGGTCTTCCTGCACATTGACGCGATGGAGCAGGCCGGGGGTGCCTCCAAGAAGAACCCAGCGGAGGCTGCGTGTGTGTCGTGGCTGGTGGAGCAGGTCCTGAGGCGTGCCTTCCCCTGCTTGCCCTCCGAGCCTCAGCCGCTCTCACGGCTTCCCCTCCTTCCCTCTTGTTTCTCTTCTTCCGGACCCGTCCCCGCGGTCATCTCATCTCGTTCTCTTATTTTTCCTCAGCCTATTGCTCCTCCTACAGTTGTTCATGCCAATGCTGCTGATGTTATTGCGTATATTCCTCATCGTCCTCGTGCTTGTCCGATTCCCGCATATTATACCTCTTGGGGCGAGGGATCCGAAACGTTTTCCTCTTCCTCCTAATGTTATTCTTTATCATGTGTCCTTCCTTCTTATTCTCGTCCTCCTCGTCATCTGTCACATTGGCCTGGTTTGTCGGGCTCCTCCCCCTTGCATCATGGATTGGCGGTAGCTTGAGCGTTCACATTTTCCCAGTCAGATGCGCAGGATACAGGTACCGAGAGGGTACACATCTGTAAGGACAGGGAGAGAGGGAGAGAGGGGGAGAGAGAGAGAGAGAGAACGAACGAGAGAGAGAAATAGGACGAGGACAATGATACAAGCGGAGAAGACGACCACGACCGCCCCCGACGCCCACGACCACGACCGACACCGACGCCCCGCCCTGCCCCGACGACGCCCCTAATCCCCATTGCCCTGGCCGCGACGGCGACGACGACGGCCCCCGACCACCCCCGACCGCCTGTCCGTCCCTGCTTGCTCTGCGCTGCTTCTGCTGCTCCCCTCCTTCCTCCTGGTCAGCGTTTGTTTGCTGTGTGTTGTTTTTTCGTCCGTTTCCTCCTCCTCCTCCTCCTCCTCAGCAGGCTGGGCTGCACCTTTTTTTTCTGAGCTCGACGGCGAGATTTTTCCCGCCGTCCCCCAGGGCGCTTGGGTCAGGGGCAATCGTCAGCAGGCGGGCCTGGGTTTCAATTGAACCATGCACACTTGGGCTGTTTTGGGGCGCTCTCGGGGGCTTGTGGGCCCGTTTTGGAGCGAGGATGATGCAGCCCCGTCCCTTTGCATCAATGCTGTTCTCCTTTCTCTCGTTATAGGCCTGTCCTGTGTGAATCATTGTTGGAGAGATGTCGAAGGACAGATGTGGCACCCAATCAATAAATGCGGTTGATACGTGGCGACGGAATTATCGTTACATCGGTTAGTCGTCTGATGCGTAGGCAGGTAGGCAGTTCGAATGGTTTTGACATGGATGGATTTGTGGTTCGGCAGGTCAACAGGTTAGTTAGGTTGGATTGTTTTATGTCAAGGATCATGGAGAGCCCGCCCGACCACACGAAACACATGTCGAGGGGCCGATTGATTTCAGGAAGCGAGGGGCATACAACACATGACCCAGACCTCCGATCCCATATACCTCTCGACCCCATTCCTGGCACTTGTTTTTCGGCGCTGATCGGTTTTTGATGGCCCAGAGGTCCTGACAGGCTTCGCCCAGAGATTGGAATCAATAGCCGTCGTGATGTCCAGGCGACGCCCAGAGGTTTGGGGATTTGGACGCCCGAAATGGGTACGGAAACAATGGGCACAATGCCCAACCACAAACGTTGTCCCAAACCAACAGCGGCCGCTGTTGGGCAGGCGGCCTTATGTCTCAAATGGGCACAGGCGGCGGCGGCGCGGACAGCGAGTCCTGTTCAAAAAAAATGAACAGGGGTTGATGGTGGGCATCGTACCCATTCTTTCCGTACCGATTTCGTTCGTTTCGAGGGGAAGGCCGGTCAGCAGGGACGGGGTGGGAATACACAGTGGGCGAAGAGGTGAACCCTCCCAGCCCCTCGTGGCGCTGGGTTGGCAGTTTAGGGGGCCTTGCGGGCCACTTTCCTGCACCCTTCGTTGTACCCTTCGTTACTGCCACCCCTTTTATCGGCCACTCGAGAGGGAGACCATGGATGCAGGCATGTGTAGCGCGGAAGTTTCTCTCCAAATCCCCGTGCGAGGTCGATGCCAGCGACGCTGACTGGCGAGGAGCGGCTCTGGCTCGGGTGCCGCTGCCTGCGCCGCCTGCTCCTCCTCCTCCTCCGGCCTCTTGACTGGCAGCCCTTCCGCCTCCGCCCTCCAGGCTCGCAGGCCATTTCTCTCCCCCAATGCCCGAGCGTCCCCTGAAATGGCCGCTCAGACGAGGTCAGAAGGATCCAGGATTGGCAAAATTTTGGTCCAGAAGGTACAGTTATTGACCCGGATCTTGGATGCAGGATTTTGGTCAGAAGAGGCCCTGATTTTGCGTCCAGGAGTGCAGGGGTTTGTGACTATGCACCCAGGGGTTATTCGGCCGCATCCCTGTCGAGGGTGGGCGCCTCCCCTTGTTGTACATCCCGGAGTTTGGCCAAGAACTGTTGCCAAGGCTTTCCGGCAGGAGCCGCCGACCTGTGTGCCAGGAGGAGGAGGAGGAGGAGAAAGAGGAGGCGGATGTGACGGGTGTGGGTGGCAGGAGTGGGCAGATGGGAAGCAGGGAAAGAAGAGGGGGCAGTGGCTCCTCCTTCGTCTGGTTCCCTCCTCCCCACCTCTAAGGATGAGGAGGAGGAGGAGGAGGAGGAGGAGGAGGAGGAGGACCATGTAGATCCAGGATGCGCCAATCATGCTGCAATACACCCTCCCGTCCCAAGAGGTGGAGACTTGGGAACGTAATGCGTTCCTACGAAGATCCACTCCTCCCCCCTCTACGGAGGAGGTGGAGGAGGAGGAGGAGGAGGAGGAGGAGGGGGAGGAGCAGGAGGAGGACGAGGAGGAGGGGGAGGGGGAAAGTGGGGAACGGGAGAGGGAGAGTGGGACTGGGAGGCCTCTTGGAGGCATCGTGGCGGCCTCATGAGACCATTTTGGATTTCGCTTCGGCCCTCTTGGGTTTCTTTTGGGGCCCTCCCGGACCTCTCTTGAGGTTGACGCCATCGAGTACAGAAGGAGGGTTTCCCATATGTGCCCCCCCGTCGGGGGGCGAGACTCAGACTCTTTGGGCCTTTGTGGCGTGTTCTTGAGGCGCTCTCTGGCGCTGTTGACGCCGTGTTGAGGCGATTCTGGGCGCCTCTGGGACTTTCTTGGGCCATCGAACCATCTTGGGCCTTCGGGACCTTCTTGAGACCCTCTGGGACTTTCAAGCTATTAGCCTCTTGGAACCCTCTTGGGCCTCTGGGCGCCGTCTTGGGAGCCATCTGGAGATACTCGGAGCCCATCGACAGCGAAACGGTGAGAACGCCAAACACATACGAGGCATCACTTTTGAATGGTTTTCGCCTCCTGGGGGACCCCTTGGGGAATTCCAGGGCCACTTGGAGCCGCATTGGAGCGGATCCGAGGCCTTCTAGAGGCATGGTGTCGTTTACAAAGGTGGAGTATCTTGAGCTATCCTGGAGGCGATCTTTGGCTATCTGGGACCCTCTTGTAGCCATCTGGAGTCCCAGGGAGAGGTGACGCACCTCAAGCGGGGGAGGCATCAGACGGAAGGGGCTTCCCTTCGGACGCACCCGTGTCGAAGATGAGCGCCTTTCCGTTGCACACCCCGGAGTTAGGCCCAACATTATTTGGCCTATCGAGAATCCCCCCGTTATGCAGGCGTCGCGAGGAGGTCATGGCGGTTGTTGGTTCCAGCTTTTCTTTGGAGGCACGTTTCGGGCCCCAGGGCCGTAAAAGCACGATCCGCGACGGAAAAGCAGCTCGAAGCATCGGGTCGAAGCGCTGGGCCGTCTGGGGCTCGCGCCGTGACAGTTATCTCGTCGTCTGCCCTCTACTGATCACCATTGGCGTTGCTTGTTGTCGATCCTCGGACCTCCAGTGGCCGCTCAAAATCTGTTCCTGGACTCCTCCCGAGGTCCATCCTGGCCAGTCCTCCGAGCTGCGTCCAGCCGTGACTACGCGAGCCCGGCGTCTCGGCCTCGCCGGCCGCGTCCCGCCGCGCACTGTCTCCATGACAGGCACATTGCATTCTTTAGCCTCCAGTCAGCAGCACTGATAGCAAGGATGAGCGACTTTCCAAGGCTTCACTTGCATCCTTTCCCTTCGGTCCATCCTCGGCCACGTTCGTTGGCCGCTGCGCGCTCGAAAAGTTTCGGCATGGCCTTTCGAGGCCCTTGCATCCATGTCGTGCATCCTTACCATGAGTTCAGATGCAACTCCTTGGAGGTCACATTCTGATTTTGCCCTGGTCCGAAATCGCGAAATCTGGCTTAATCCGGCTCAATCCCGCTAAATCCGGCAGAATCCCGCTTAATCCCGTGCATTCCGGATTGATCCTGCTTAATACGAGGCCCACTTCGGCGTAAGAGCCCCCCAATGGGGCTTAATCCTCCCTAATCCTTCCGACGAAGACCTCTCAGTAGTTGACTCCTAACATCAGTTTCGACTGTAGTTCTGGGCCGTAGCTGCTTTTCCTGGCTGCGTACTGTACATGCGTGGGCAGCCGTTCTCACGATCTCTTCTCAAGGGCACTGTGTCGAGAGGCTGCGCGTTCTGCTGGTGTGTGGAGGGACGAAAAGGAAGCGCCCAATAGACTGTCAAGACGACGTCGTCGTCGTCGTCGCGGAAGTCCTGGCTCGTCCGCAGCCGTTGTGGCTCGTGTTGCCCCGCACTGTCCATATATACACCGAGGTCCGAATTGATGCACATCCACCGCCTGATGCACCGACGTCTCAGGACACAAGTGGTCAGTGAGTATTGGTATCTCTGGGCCTCCTGGGGCCTGAGTATATCCGTATCGACTGCCTCCTTGGGCCCAAGGACATCGGTTTCAGGAATGACGGTGGACATGCAGTAGTCTTAGACATCCGACGATGGGTGTTTTTGTTCAGTTCGCGGCCCCAGAGGCCTCGGACCCTTCACCTGGGCCAGCGATTCCTCCAGGGCTCTTCTTTTATAGCCTCAGGTCTAGAAGCTTAACTGGGTGGCCGAAGATGAGGAAACATGCCGGCATTGAAACAGAGGAAACATGCCGGCATTGAAACAGATCCCGATGACTGCTGTCTTGGTACATCAGGAAGCTGGCACTCTAAGTCTCTTCAGGAGCATGGGGGGGTCACAACCCCCGCAGACAGACCGGA